GAACAGCCTGTGCTCAGATCCTGGATCCAGGTAGAATCAGACAGAAATGTTCTTTTCTGTCTGCTGAGATTTGCTGGTGTTTTGCCACAGCGAAGACAGAGGGAATCTGAAATTACAGAACCAGGAAATCGTTTAGGTTGAGAGACCCATAGGGATCACCTCGTCTGAGCACCGTGCTGAGGCAGGGTCAGCTCCATTTGGGAGAGCAGGACTGCTTCCAGTCTGATCTTGAACCGGATTTGTACCTTGCAAAACCTGTACCTTTCTCTTCCCCTGAATTATGTGCCCCTTTTCATCCTCGTGCTGAGGAAATGAAAGCAGAGCCTTAGGCCATATATAATTTCCAAACAGGTTATTTTCACCACAAACTTTCGGCTTTTTTCAGAGTTTATTGCTTGCAATGGACTGATCTTTGACTGCTCATGCAGTGTCACTTAGGCAAGTAGAAATTTGAAATAGAAAAAGCAGTTGTGTTTTGCTGTAGGTTGATAACACTTGGTTCCAGTCACCAGTGACCATTTCCTTAGGTAAGAGGTAATAGTGCAGATATTAATTGTAAATAGAAGTTGATATATAAAACTATCCATGTACTGAGGAATGAAAATCAGAAATTGAACTTAGAATTGAAAGCAAACTTTACTTGTACGCTGCCAAAAGTATTCAACTACTTCATGGTGCCCTCACTCTTGTCACAATATCCCCCTCAAAGGGTAAGGACTCATTCACAAGTACTGAGGGAATCTCATGACAAAAGAGTGATAATACCTGCAAAGTGCTGCATCTCCAAACACTAAAGTCAGTTTTAACACAGAAAATAAACTTTCTGTGGGTTATAACTCATTGCAACGTAATCCTCATTATTACAGCAGGCAATTGCAAATGTGCTTAATGAAAAGATGTATTTTTTGTTCCTGTGCCGTTGTAGACTTTAGAATGGATTCTTATGAGAAAATGAGTCCTAGGATGTTTCTGTTAATAACATTAACAATACAGAAGTATTGCTGTATTGTTTAGAGATGTTGTATATCACCATAATGACTATTCCTATTTTAAGGCTGCCTTGGAACAAGAAAATTAGCTGTAACGATGTTCATTTCTCATTTGAATTCAATTGATTTTCGGTACTCATTGTAGCAAAGATTTAACTTATGTAAGAAAGTACTGAACTGTGTATTGATTTTTAAATTAAAAGCTTTTATTGTTTTTTCCTTTATGTTTAATTGTGGAATACCCTGTGCGAGCCAGTTTTACTTATATTGTATTCAAATTTTTCTGGCAAAATCTACCCAGTAGAAAATTATGCCTTTATTCTTCAGATGTAAGCAAAAACCATTGTTTTTCCACAATCAATATATAAATTAGTCAACACTTAACTTGCCATAAAAATAAATTGACTCCACATTGATTTGTCTCTCTCATGGTAGCACTAATATTTGTGTACAGATTGGAACTTCTTCTTCTCTCATTTTATTTTCCTATCAGTAATGTTAAACAAACGTTGGGGCATTGCACACTGCTGGCCAGACAAAAGGCAACAGAGAGAAGGATCGTGTCTGGGTACATTTAGAGGCAGCTCAGTCACACCACCTCACTAAGAGCTCAATGAAAATATTCCTTAACCTTTTCTCAACCTCGGTGATCTGCAGGAGGACTTTCAGGCTGACTCTATGATGGGAACAGTCAGGAGAAGAGATTCAACTTTTCCCTGCACTTTTCCATCTGCAAAGGAGTGCCCCAAGAGAACGTGTCCCAGACACGCAGGCAACACTTACAGTAATAACAATGACATTGTTGTGTGATTCTGGTTCTGGAGAGTTAAGGAGGTCACGTAACAGAACATGAGATAGGATTTACAGGAAAACCTGAAAAGGTTTCACTGATGAAGGGCACCAAGGAAGCAGCACTTTGTATGCATGGCAGTAATGGCGTATTTGTTAACCATGAGGTGACTTATCCTTTCCTCCCCACAGCTCTGGTTTAGCTGGGCACTACCCTGAACCTCCAGCCTGCCTCCCAGGCTGGCCACCCATTATTCTTCATACTTAGTGATCACCACCCCAGTGATGTTGTCTACAAAAAGAGGAATTAACATGTCACATATATATTCACTACATTCTTACCTAAATGGTTACTAATATCAGTTTACTTTACTTCACATTTCAAAACCAGAGAGATTTAATTATCTCAGTATAAGCCACCAACTTCTAAAAGCTACATCTAAGATGCAGGCAATTTCAGAGAGATCTGGAGAATTCTGGCCTAATGGAAGATTTAACAAGAAAATTAGTCTGTGGAATTATAAATGCTCTCTGAAATCTTCAATCAAATGTCAATACTCAGCTCACAGACATCTTCTTAAAACAATTTCCCAGACGTGTTTCATTTCACTGCCTTTTGCTTTCTGTTGCTCATTGATTGGAATTTTTCCTTACTCACAAGAAAAAGAATAAAAGTCTTGCTGAGCTGTGCCAAGTACCACTACAATCATTGCAAGAAAACAAAACGTTCTCCTTTTATTTCTCACATTTTTCTGTGTCTGCAGTCCCATGGGCTCCACTGGGGTAGCGATATCTGAAATCTGAATCAGTTCAACTGGAGGAAGTTAGCATCAAGCTTAAATTTTCATAGGGAAAGCTATTTGTTTGGATTTGTTATTTTTTCCTTTGCGTTTTTATTATTCTGCTTTCCTCTCTGTTAAAGAGAGAATACTAAAAAGTGAAACTAACACAGCTGAAAGATGTTATTGGTATCCTTGTTAAGTGTTACAACCATTATTATCTGAAAAGTAAATATTTTAGTGCATGAAACACGTTTTTAAGCTGGATTTCTTGTTCTTGGTTTAACAGCTATATTTGATCATAAATTTCTATAAATGGTTTGACTGTTTTTAAAAGAAAGTACATATTTTAACACAGTGAAATTGCAGCCAGCATTCCTTTTGCATTTAAATTCCACTTTTACTTCATCAACAAGCATATGGAAATGGGTGAGACCAGAGTAGAAGCGCGATAGAAGGGACTTGTGCTGCTGTAGTATGAAAGGTTTCAGAGACATGCTGTCATTTCTCAATCTACTTGAGTAAATTCAATTAAATTTACTTACATAAATTACTTAAGAAAATTTAAGTATGTGGATTCACAAGTTGTCCGAATTTAAGTTGTTTAGAAGTACTGCATGTACTTCACTGGAGACATTTAAAATCTACAGCAGTGCAAAAGAGAAGATGCCCACTGCCATCTTACATCAACAAGGAAGTGTGATCTATTCATCCATTTCTTGATTTTAAGCATACCTGATAATTAAATCCAGACATAAATTACACTCCCAAAGCCAGAGGTGTCGTCAGCAAGCAAACTCCTAGCAAGTCCAATGTATATACCACTTGTATAGCAGAACTTCACTGTACCTCTTAAATTTTTGACAAGTAACTGGATGGTACCAGTTAATTAGACGTAAAAGCCAGCAGCATATTATTCCTAATGCTTAATAGGGTATTAATAACAGTTATCTTTTTATAACTAAATCTGCTATTACAGATTAAGAAAATGTAAGAGCAATTGCAGCTTATATTGCAGACTGTGTAAGTTTTTCGGTCCACGACCAAAGATTTTAACCTGTTCCTGTTATTTTGCAGGATTTTGGAGCAGAAAGTAGCAGGTCTTATGCTAGAATGATGACATTACTCTCCCCCATCCTCCCAGCTTGTGCTATACTTAGTGTTCAAATGTAGTCTAAATCAAACCCCACCCAAACCAAATGATCATGTGCTCATCTGTTTGCTCTCAACCTATAATAAGGAATTATCTTTGGAAGCTAAGGCAAAAAACAAGCAAACAAAAAAACCTATGGAGACAATTGGGATGCTTTTTTCTTTTTTCTTTTTTTTTTTTAAAGTAAAAATAGATGGGTTTAAAAATACTACACAGTGTGCTGTGATGAGAAATGTGACATTTCTATCTGCATTCAAGGATCCCAGTGATCTTCACAGAGAACAGGCATAAAGAAAAAACACAGTAATATTTAATAATCTGCCAGTAAATCACAACACTGAAAGCCTGTGGAGGTATCTGAATAAATAGATCTAAGTGCATTTTATAAAAGATCTTCACATAATACAACCAGAGTCCCACTGACCAGTTCCACCTCTTTGAAACCACTAGGGACATTCTGGAGAGTCCTCAGCTTGGAAAACATCAGCTAACAACACTTTTCACTTCCATGTCTAAAGTTTTTTCCTCACATCTGTTTCCCTCTGTCCTCCATCTTTGCACTAAGCCCAACAGAAGTAGCATGAGGTGCCAGCACCTCAGAATTTAAACTAAACTGTTCTCCACTTCCACTGATGAGACAAAAAGGTGTCTTTTTCTCTGAGAGTGAGCAAGACCAGCTATTCCTCTAGTTTCTTATTACTGTACATTAATCGAGTGAATTTTGCATGGCCTACTGAAATCAATCAGTTTGTATACAGTTTGTCTTGATGTTTCTCAAATTCAAAATAAGACCTCTGTAGAAAGGACAGGTGCTAGATCAGAACCTGCTCCCTTCCCACCCCAAGAGTTGATCTGCCCGTCGTATTCGGAAGGATTGTATCTCTTGGTTCATTCATGAGAACATTCAAAACATGAATTTTATATTAGTGTAGAGAAAAATCAAAAGCAGAAACCATAAATAAAACATTTTCTGACAGCTCCAGTGTGAAAGCAGTCATTCGCTCTGCTGCAAATTGCACAAGCATAACCATAGAACAAAGTATGTAGAAAGTCCTAAAACTATACTTCTCACTTCATCGTCTTTTTCAGCACATGCAGCCTTCTGCTCTGATGGAAACAGAAGTCATTTATGTGTAATGGCTGGAAAAATATAATATTGTAGTCACAAATGCCATCCGAATTGCTACTTAAATTGCCCAAGGAAGTTACAAGAAATCGACAAAGAAGTCATCACAGACACTGAAGCTTTGAACAGCCCTCAGGATAGCTGAGAGTTTCCGTTTTACTTACCAGTATGTGGGTGAGCTGAATGGTAATAAGAGGAGATCCTGACAGATTGTGGGACAACTTGGGAGGAGGATCTACTTTGATAGAGATGAGATAACTGGCTGCTGAGATCCTATAGCCTTTGTAAGCAGTAGCTTCAGCAATCCTTGGGAAGAAAGAAATATATTAGATAAGTAGGAAAATAAAAACCTTTTTAGTTTATGTTAGTATTGACCTCTTTCAACTTGGCCTGGGAAATGTTGCTCCTGTCTGAAGCACCTCTTGGAATAATGTCACAGCTGTGAATTATCCAAGCACCCACTTTTCTAACAAACTGCCTCAACCAAAGGGTTGTTGGGAGCAGTGGAAGAGATCGTTAGAGAGGCTGCAGTGAAGTAAGGAGTATAAAAATAAACCAAAGAAAGAAACACTCAAGCAAAGAGAATCATTGCCTAATTAAACATGCATACTAGTATGAAGCATACAGTGGCACTGTATGCAATGAACAGATCACATATGTTATGCATATATTTAGAAACAATTTATAGTTTCACTTTAAAAACAATGATTATTTCCAGTAACATTTGTTAGAGAGTAACTGGGAATGCAATACAACAGAGGAAGGCCTGACTGAACATCTCATTAACCCAGGTGACTTGTTTTTTTTTTTCCTGAGCTGTATAGCTCTGCAGTACATGGTAAGAACATTAATTTCTGCCTTCAGGCCATCAGCTATAACTTCCGACTTTCACATTTCTGTGCATTTAGGAGTAACTAAAATCTATTCAGCTGCAGAGTAAAATTCTTTACACTATCAGTAAAAAAGAATGTGCAAGTGTAAAACATTTTCTGTCATTCAACTCTTCAGCATATGAATGAACATTATTTACAATGAAAAATTAGAGCCATGGTGCATTAACCATCAGTTTGGGTATCCAAACAAGGCACACTACTGGAAAGAGGCGTATTTGAAAGACACATTAAAAACTATGTCTGCCACCTGTTTGCAATGTTTCTTTGTTTTTCTTTGTGGAAAGAAGAAAGATGTCAGATATTAAAGTAACTTCATTCAGTTCCTCAGCAAGATCAAATAAAACAAATCTCATTTAGCACAACCCCAAGCATCAATCCTTAGTTCTGATCAGGAAGAAAAATCACTATAAGACATTAATTCTTATCCCAGTAAGTAGAATGAGCAGCCTCTATTTCTTCATGTCAGTAAGAAATATTGCACACTAATGGCACAGATCCTTCACAGCCACCTACTAAGTGCCCTTTTTTTGAGAGAGCAGGGAAATCAACAATGCAATTTACTACTTGATTTTAAAATGCTATTTAGTGGTAGTCATGTCATTATCTCAGTGTGATCAATCTGGCCATAAACCAGGAACCTTTACCCAGGATATCAGAAATGATTTCCCGCGATCATGACCTTCCATGTAGCTGTATGTAAAGAAAGAAAAGTAATCCCTAAAATAAATGACAGCTGAGATGCTTCTTCCTTCCTTCTGTTGTCATACTTAACATGATGAAAGCCACAGTATGGAGAAGACAGAAAGTGTGACCTAATCTACGTATGTTAGTGTAGATCAAATGAAAACATACTATCTTAAAAGAAAAGTGTAATGATTTACATGAACGGCCTTGCAAAATTCTCTGGGGATCTCTCAGGCTGAGAAGTATATAGGTCTCCATTTACTTTATCTTATCTGCTAACGATTTCATTGATGCAGCATATAAAACAGAAGGTCTTTTAAGCATTGCCTGGTCTCCTGTTGTAAAATTATCTTACAGGTTTCCAGGATTCAGATTTTATCTATGGAGGGATGTTGTTTTCTTACTTGTTTCATTCAAGTGCAAACTTTATCTTCATATGTGTCAGGAGAAAAGATGTAATTTGCCTTTTATAAGACACATTAAAGTTATGAAATTCTAATAGCAGATCTGATGAACAGAAAGAGGAGACAAGGAAAGACAAACATGTTGCCATGGGAATCTATTTTACTATGGCATAAAATAAAACATCTAACTTAAGATTTAATCTGACTCTAGTTAATGACTACATGTCGTCAATACTGCAGAATCAGGATCAAGGCTCATAATTTATTTACAGTTGATAATGACACGACTGCTGTAAAGGTAATAAACAAGCTGTTACAGCATGAGAGGTCTTAGGTACTTACTTGGTATCCATAGGGTTGATACTATGAAAGAAGTAGTGCATGTTATGGTAAAACATGCCCACAATGGTGATCCAAGCTGTGAAAAGGAAAGAGGCAACAGATGTAAGCAAGAGACATTTCTCTCCTGGAAATAAAACTTTATTAAGTTCTTTGGCTTCTGTAATTCTCATTATTGAATTCTCAGTATTTTTTAAAATAAGTGAAGAAATAGAAGTTAGATATCAAAATAGAAGGGTGCTTGCCCTATGCAGCTGTACTTCCAAAATGAGTAAGTTGATAAGTAATCATTTGTCCTTGTAAAACTCCTACCTGTCACTAGAATGGCTGCATGGCGTATGTAGTCAACATCCCAATGGTAGCTACAGTAACTTCAAGGCTATTTAACCACTATGTACATTAACTAGCAGTTTACAAAACTTGAGCACAGGCAACTGGTTTCTGCTTCGACTGCCTGTTCACTGTCTGCATTCCAAGTATTTATGGGTCCTTCAGCATCTAAGAGGAGATGGAGATGTGTATTTTATAAGAGCCCTTTATTACCCCTTTTGCTGGGTTCCAAGTATTTATAATGAGAACTGCTTGAGGCGGAGGAATAAATGTTTAGGTTAGTTCTTTGGACTGTGTCGTTCAGCATAAGGCTGAACTTGTTCAGAAGTGAGTTTTGGCTGCAAAACACCCCTGCAAAGTATCTTTGTTTTTTCAACAGAAATGACCAAGGAAAGGTTTCTGTGTGTGTCAGTTCTGTGGATTGTGGGTTAGGGTACATAGGCTGGATTTTCAAAGACTTAATGATCCAGTAGATACTTTGGTAAACAGATTTCTTCAGTCCTTGATTACAACACGGAATTAGGTTAAAACATTTTTATTTTTTAATTTCGACTGGAAATTCAGATTTTTGCCATCTTCTCACTTTTTGAGATAAGCTAAAATTTTAGCATAGGCCTGAATTTCTTAGTTCTGCCCTGTTGCCTTGACTGTTGTTCACATCTTCATTCTGTTTCTGGGTATGCTGTTGCTTAGCTCTGTCATTTTATAGATAAATTTCATAAAAAATGTTAAAACAGATTTTACATGGGAATACAATAATGACTGATCTGGTAACCTGAAATTTCTTAAAAATAACCAGTTTGGATGAATAAAAATGATTTAAGATATGAAGGCTTTTCTCACGTAAATTATTGAATGGCCGTCTTCTCTGCAGTCTAGCTGTGTTATTCAAGTTAAATTCAAGTAATAGGAATATTATTCAAGTGAGATGAAGAATTCTACCACATTGGTCATTCATTAGTGTGACAGAAGAGCTGTTGTTGGTTTAGAACCGGTGTGATCAACGGCAATCTAACTGGTTATTTGTGAAAGTAGGGCAAACAGAAAACTGTTTTCAAGCTGAATTATTCTTGAATACCCTGTTTACATGTTCCTGCTCTCCCTTTAATATTTTCTTACCTCTTTCTTGAAAAGCTTCACTGGGAATAGAAATATAACTCTGTCCTCGAGATGGAAAGCGATAATGGGACAAATTCAGAGTCTTGGAATGCATTTTGGCCAAAGTGTAGTCTGTGTGAGGATCCAAACAAAAATATGACAAAATCAATTACCTTTATTACGACCTTCATGAGTACATAGCTTTGCTTTTCTAACAGCTACTGCAAATCTCGACTCTAAAATTCCATATGTTTGCAGAAAATAGAATAAATTCCCTGCATACAAAACTGCCTTTCCTACCCAAATTCTTTATGAGAGGAAAGGCAGTACACGAGGTGCTGGTATATGGTGGATCACTTCACCCATGCTCGAAAAACAGATTGATAGCATTATCTTCCCTTTCCACTGACATTTGAAAGTGTAATTTCTGAGCACTTTCATTGAGAATTCCAGTGTCCAAGACAGCTTAGGGAGTGTGTGTGCAGTGATTAATGGTACTAGTGACTGTTCAAGTAGGTGTCAATTAAGTAGAATAGAGTGCTGGAACAGATCAATTAACTTTGCTACCTGTAGCAGATGAAATTAGGTTGTAAGATGCAAAACAGTGGTAAAAGAAAACATTCTCCTGAGAGAGAAACTAGACTCCTGTCCCCAAATTAAAGTTTTCTAGTATCTACACATTTGCAAGTTCAAAGCACTGAATAAAAGCTCTGGGCAGTACTTTAATTGCCTACTAGTACAGTCTGTGCTGTGCTAAGTCTTTTGTATAGTTTTATTGGGTTCATATGCAAAATCATTCCCCAGATAAACTCAAGAACCTCAAGTGCAGTCAGAGATGATTACCTCCGAACTTTCTGCAGCTGAAATGGCATTCAAAAGAGAGGATAATCTGTTCTGATTTCCTCTTAAGTATTAGCAAAGTGGAGGGGCTGCATGCACAGAAGCATTCAGGACAGCCTGACAGGCCAAACAGAGAGAACAGCTCTGTTAAATCCTACCTGCTATGGATGATGTGCCCTCAACAGTTAGAGACATCGAGTTTTCTTCCAGATTGCATGTCATATGCACCATCACACTGTCAATAGTTTGAATTAAGCTTCCAAATATGTGAGCAGTCTGGGAGAAGAAGAAAGATAAGGCTCTACAACAAGAGAAATTGAAGTTCACAGCACAAGATGCCAAGGGGCCATGATAAATTCCTTTGTAAGTCATTGTTTGTCTGTCCAAAGACATGTGATTTTCTCCATAACATTTTCCACATATAGTGGATGAAACGTTATTTAAAATGATGTCACACAGAGCCTGATCTTGTAAAATATTATGTTTTATGGAGCATCTCTAAAGGACTCTTTGCTCCCATCAGCATTTGTCAATTATATTCAGGATTCAGAAAAATGACATCAAGAACTGAACAGATTATTTTGGCAACATTTAAAGACTTGGATCAGACGCTCGCTGGGACATGATCTTAAATACATAGACCAGCTCTTCTTTCATCCATACTAGAACATTCCTCCAGTACAAAGCTACATGGGAAGTTTTGTATGTCTCCTAGAAAACAGTCCTCAGAGTGAACACATGTTTTAATGTGAAAGAAATGTACTTGATTTGATATTTCCTTACACAAAAGGCAATCTAGGATTTTAAGCTAATAACTTAAATCCATTAGACATCTATCTGCCTTTCTTAAAAGTGCCTTAGGATTCAGTAACACCCTGATTTACATTAGTGTTGTCCTCCTCACCCATTTTAAAAGTTTTCTGTTATAAAATTTGTGTTCCCTTAAGATGCAATTTAAAAAATCTCAGGAAAAGCCTGGGAAAGTATTTTTCTGCATTCAAATTCAGAAGGGTGACCAGAAGAGAAAGATCACTGATGCAGGTTGCCTTTCCTGTGTCAGATGATACCTCAGTCAAAGTTTCACTCCACTAAACTAGGTAAGCACTGTTACATATCTCACGTGTTCTGAAAAAAGTCAAACTACAAAAAAAATACACACTAATTACAAAAGTTAAATGCTCAAAAAAAAAGAGCTAACTTTGGGGCAAGAGAGATTAAATACTGACTTCATTGACAATGTTTGTTATTTTATAAATACAGGTTTAGGTTGTTTCTTTCATCTGGGATTATGTGGAAACATACAGATAAAATTTACATACTTTAGCCCTAAAAATCACATGTAATTTTTAATTGTTTTGTATGGAGATCTTTATTTCAAGTACACAAATGGCATAAGAGCAAATAAGTCATCCTGCTAGTTGAACAGCAGAATAGGATGAAGAATAGAGGCAACCAAATTTGTTACTATCTACTCTAAATCACTCATCTGAATTAACCAAGAAATCAAAGCTCATTTGTCTTACCTCAGGTATTTCAAGCCAGTTGGGTAATAGCAGAAAGTCTTCAATAACTTTTAAAAATGCCTAAAAGAATGAAATAATATAATTTGTTTTTCATCCTGTACATCTCCTGGTAGGCATGCAAGGCAGATTTCTTGGATTTCTTTTGGTTTATTTTAAGTTTACTAACTTTTTTTTTCACTCAAGCCAACTTCATCCCCACTGCAAACATTCCCATCATCTCTTATGTAGCATTTTAGAGTAATGGCTTATTTATTAAAAGTAGCACTGCTATGAAACTCCCAGAGTACAGTAATTACATCTGATGTGACAACACTGGATCTTAGGGGAAAGAATTTATTTTCCTAATTTATCTAAACTCACATGACATTAAAATGCCTCTTCATCTATGATTAGATATTTCATCAGCACTGCATATAAATTTGGGCTCCATCAGCTGCTAAATTTGATTATTTCCTGCTTAACTTTTTCACTTTAATGTTTTTGAGGTCAAGATCCATCATGATGAGCACTGTTCATGATATAGACTCTGTCCTAAGGAGTCTTGCTAACAGAGATAAATGCAAGGAGGGGATGGGGGACACAGAAAATGATCAAAAAATCAAAAGAAAAATTACATTCCTACTTAAACATCTTTTCATATACCTTAAAAGCATTGACTGAATATAAAAGTCTCATTGAGAAACACAGAAGAAAGCAGCAAGAGTGTTTTATGAGCACATTTTTATAAGCAGTGAAACACAGGGCAGTACCAGAGCTTTTCTATAACCTTTTACTTCTAGCAACTGCAAGCTCTGTGCTGCCTCTCTGAAACACTGAGTGTGGCATGCACAGAGTTTACCTTAAAGCCAAGACCTAGCCCAAACTGCTGAGAGCTTTCAGGAAGCATCTCTTCCCAAGACTCAGCAGCACTTCGGAATTAACACAAAAAGGATGTATTAGACTGCTAGAAAAGGAGGGAAAGCAGGAGGACTGGAACTGCTGGGCAGAACAGAATTATAACAGAAAACGTGAGTAAGATTTGTCAGAAGCAATACATTGTAAGTGTGTCAGTAATCAGACAGCTTATTGCATATCACTTATATCAAATTTTCTCGAGCTGTGAGGCATATGACAACCAGTAGAGAGAGACCTTTACAGAAAGAAGCATGCATGCTTGGTGCTTGTCTGTCAGGGAATTAGCTTCAGACAATACAGAGCCTATCAGTCAGACAAGTGACACAGTCTGTACGTATGAACAGAACTCTGATGTTTATTTCCCAAAACAGATTTGCTAAGGATAATCATGTCCCACTTTTCTGTCTGCACATTACTTTCACAACACACAAAGCAACAGACAGTGTGAATGAGCAATCAAGTCACAACTGAAATGATGTGGGCAGCAGGTGTGACATCTGACAGGATGGTGTTCCATTTTCAAATTAGAGCCCACACAAAATTTTCAGCAAAACAAAGGGAACAACAGATAAGAGATTTTTAGAACGATTTTTGCTCTGTATTAAGTTGTAATTCACAAAGGCCAAGCTTTACATTTTGCAAATGTTAAACCTTTAACAGAAACTGTCAAATGCTGGCTGTGTGTTTTCAGAGGCATTTATTTATACTGTTGGTCCAAGTAAATAATCCCTGTCACCCTGGTATTACCCACAGGCTTAAAGAAACAATCCCTGGTGAGGCCAGTGCTGACGGTTACAATAATAGTTTTTTAGCCTGCTGAAATCAGGGAGTTAGCTGCCCATCATTTTACAGAAGGCTGACTTTATGTTAGCAAAACGGGCTCCTTGTCATCAGTTCAGACCATGGAAAATGCCCTCCACTACTTATGACATACGGTGAACACACAGCTGAAAAAATTAATTAGAAATTATTTTCTACTTTCCTATTTTCTGTTAAACTAAATCTTTAATGCGTAGTCATTGTTCCAAGTATCTATAAAACTTAAGCATTAAATACCATCCCCAAGAACTAATGGACTATTTTCTCAAGTTGTAGCTCACTGTCTGCTATTCTCTAAAACAAATGCTGCTCACTTCATATGTATATCCTGCAATCTGCAAAAACTTTCATAGCTGCATTCCATATTCCACCTGCTGGGGAAATTTGAGTGTCATCTGGATCCAGACACAGAATTTAGAAGTTTACCTCTGTCAGGCTTAGAGCAGTATTTTCTGACAAGGATTTATTGGGCAAGCTGAATGAGATGTTCTCCAGGTATTCCAGCAGGATGTCGGAGGAGTGGAAGTTGCCTCTCTCTTTGGTCAAATTAGTTATGATGGGATGATAGGCGTTTGTAGACAGCTGCAAGAGAGATACAACTCACCAGCTCATTCCAAACAGCAAATGCCATTTGTGCCATTAGCCCAAAAGGCAGCTAAAGGGCACTTTTCAGTTCTTCAGGAATCACTGTAGCATTTCTAAGTGGCGCAACCTCGGGGCTACTCATAAGCATTTCTAGGGCCATAAAGTCTGGTTGAACAGTTCTCTTCCCAGCACGCAACAGAACCTGCTAACGGGTGTGGAGGGTTGGTTTTTGTTTATTGTTTCTGTGTTGGTGGTTTTTTTTCTGTATTTTGAGGCATAGCAGACGCTGTGATTACACACAGGAAGTTACACAGAGCGAACAAATAGACAGGATAGTCAGAATTTACATGTACAGGTTCATTTGTTCGTTAGCAATTCAGGTCCTATCTGACATGGTTTCCTGAAAGTCTAAGAAGTAATAAAACTTTGGCACTCCAGACAGCAAGAAAGTGAAAATACACAGGAATAACTATGTGCACGTAGGCTGCCTGCAGCTAATTGCATACAGATGGCACATGAAAAATAAGAAAAGTTATCAACACGTTTTTGGATGTCTTCCATCTTCAGAATCCACTGAAGTACTGTTGAACAAGTTTCTACTTTTTTATATAGAGGAATTATTTTTATTAACTTTGAATTCCTGTTGTCTATCCAACAAGATACAGAACTCTTGTCCATACAAGAGTTCTGTAGCTCTCCCACCTTTCAATACTGGCTGAAATTACTCCCTACACATATCTGAAAGCGTTTATAAAAATACTCAAGTGCTAAAATAATTGTCATTAATGATATCTGTAAACTACAGATCTGTAATTCTGTATTTATAACAAATTCTCATGTTTTGTTGGACTCCCTTACCACAGGTTTTGTAGTAGTTGTCATTGTAGACCACGAAAGAGTTGAAGAGAGCAAAAACTGCACACCTGGGGAAAATGCACACACAAAGGAGTTGAATTAATTTAGGAAAAAATCATTTTAAAAATCTCCATATCTTATCAAGCACAGATAACATATTGTGGGCACTTCTGACTAGTTCCTGTGTGGCCGGGTTGTATTTCTATATATATGATTCTTCAGCATCATATATTCTTCAGCATAGGGACTGAGAAGATGCAGACATTGAAAGCAATCAGAATACTGTCAGCCATGGTTTCCAAATGCTAATGTTGTCTAAATAAATATTTATGTCTTGAGTCTAAATTTCTTGAGTGGCAAATAAAATAGTGCAAATTCAAAAAGACTGTAAGAAAAACTCAAAATCAATGAAATATTTCCATTACTCAGTCAGAACTGAGGTATCACTCAAATAAAACAACACGGGTAGAAATGCTGGCATATTAAACCTAATGTGGCATTTTAGTTTTGCATAAAGCAACTAATAGGAGTCAAGGAGCGAAAACAATTTTCAGTAGTAGTCAGAGAATATTGCACATAATGTGTCTGCTCGGTGCTTTTAAGTTGATTTGAAGCAACAGTAAGGTTGCTATTAATCAGATGGGCTTCAGCAATAAATATCACCCCCTAGAACTACACCCATTGAAAATTACCATACAAGCATGCCATAAGTGATCTGCCAAGACAGAAAGAATAAACTCCATTTGGAATGGTTTCCAGCTGCTCCATTTTAAAAAATATCGATTCCTTTTCATGCAAGAGAATTTATGGGTCATTTATGGGTAGAGAAATAAAATTTTCTTCTCAACTACATCTTCCCAAAAATTTATGTTTGCCCAAGAGTATGGTATTCCAGCATAATCAAACAGTAGTGGAATATGCTGGACATATTCTTATCACAGATCCAAATGTAATGTGGTTATTCATTCTGTTAAGGCTGTTAAGGCTGTCCTATAAGTTTCTTATGTCACAACACATTAATCCAGTTTCATCACTGTTTTAAGATCTCCAAGTTCACTCAATAAACAGATGCCAAGAATAACTGATGCACTGTGTTGATTAGTCTTGCAGTGTCTAATACTTCCTGAGAATGTCCCAGCTTCATTCCTAATTCCAACTGGAAATTAAAATAAATAATAAAAGAAAATCTAATCAGTCCATTACTTTGCGAAAAATGAAAAGCTCAATAATTCCACATTTCTCCAATTCAATTTAACACTTTAAAATAATATTGGCTTTGTACTTATAAAAAAATAATAATACCTGGTGCCCCTTTACATTTTAATTCCTGTGCCTCTAGGAAAAAAAAAATGCACATCAAGTTTTACTTTCAGTTTAGATGTTAGAAATTTATTTTAGATTTTTCACAAAGTTCCTGATGATCCTGAAGACATTTGAACCAAAGCTTTAAGAAAATTTAAACTAGAAAAAGTTGGTACAATGCAAATTTCTGTAAACATTCAGCTTCACACAAACTCATAGCACAGCAAGAAGGTCTTAATGTACAAGTCAGGGAGTTTGCTATGTAACTTTCCAAAAACCAACAGGGAGGTTGGCAAAATCCTGTGTAACTCTTCAAAAATTTAGACTTAGACAAATCATACTTCCCTATGTTCATAAAGACAATTGGGTTGATTCAAAAGCATCCATTGCATTTGAATTTAGCAGCATAACATTCTACCCTAAATCAAGGAATGTGTTTTATGGTATCTTTGAGCTGGATACTGTTATAGTAACCCTAGGTTGTTGTGAAAGATTAAACAGCCAGATACTAGAACTGTGTTTCCAACATGACCAGAACATTATAAACTTAATAAAACATTTTAATTTATTTATTTAGATTTTCAAACATGGAAGAAAAATTTGTACTATTTCCTACCTTAAAAGACATATCTGAGAATGTTGAAGACATCCATAAGAATCACTTCATAAAGCATAAAACTTGAGCATGATTTCTGTCTTTTGTGTTGCAAAGCACATGATCTGCTTCATTATATACTAGATATAGGGTTTTCTTTTCAGTGGTTTCAATTCTATTTTATCTGTTCTATATTTTTTCTAATATGCTATATAAGTTGATTGCCATTATCAAACCTGGATGTCACAAATGCACACATTCTCATTTACAGGTTTGCACCTGTGCTGTGTTATTCAAAGAGTGCCCACTGTGAAAATCGTTCCCATGGGTTTAAAAGCACATGAGTAATTGAGTGTAACTGCGTTAGCTCTCAGTAACCTAATAAGAATTAATGAAAATAGAGAAACCACCGGCTAAGCTAAATGTTCCAGATGCCCCATAGCTTTATTCCTGAGAGGGACATTTTCTGATTGCTACTCACACACAAACACTTAATAGCAACAGCCTCTCTTGTATTGAAAAGTTTATTATGAATATCTGTAGCACCGCTGATATATTCTACATTTTTGTTCAAATCCTGATTCTTTTTTTTTTATTTATATTAAGTTTTAGCAAATATCTTTTTTGGTTCACAAACCTACGTGAGTTATTAAATCTCTGTTGTTCCAGGAACTGGAGAGATAAGCATTATTGCCCACGTCTGTTGAAATATGCTAAGTGAGTTGCTCCTAAGATTACACAAGAGTGTTAGAAATCTGGAGTCAATATTTCTTAATAGCATTCTGCCTCAAGTCTAATTATTGCTCTTCTTCACTTAATCCCAGGGGATATAAAAATGGCTGCAGACTTCTGATCTTGGTAAACTTTGTTGACATTTTTAAGGAAGTAGAAGCCCAGATGAAAACACTGCGTGTCCAAAGATAGCTGAATGTTTCAGTGCCTTTCATAAATGCTTTTTTCTGCCTCTGAAAAAAACCTACATTAAATAGCTGAAAGATACAAACACAAATCCTACACACTAGCCATTTTTAAGACAGCATCTTTACAGAAAATGACTTATGGCAGTAAGAGTGCACATACTCACCAATAGCAGCGGTAAAGTACTGCTCAATTTCATTGGGGGTGAGTGCCCTTTCCCATATAATGAATTCATCAAATGCTCCATTCACATAGCGTTTCGTTTGATCCCCTTCTGTTCCAGTCAGCAGATTTGCACTGGGGTCTCCATAATCATAGAAAACTTTCCCATCTGGATCAGTTGTGTTTAGAGTTCCATTGATGTAGACCTTCAGTCCTTCTCTTGATTTCCAAGTGAAGAGAATATGAGTCCAATAAGGACCTAGAAAACAGTAAGTCACAGCAAAATCTATGAATCATTTCCATTTAGTGCCTCTCCTATTCAGTAAGTTTTTGCTGACTTGTGCAATGCTATGGAACAGTATAGGAAGTGCTGAAAGTGAATTATGGAATGCTGATGTCATGTATATTAATCTTTATACACATGGGGAAGCCCATACTTTGGCAGAACGCCTGTTAGCTTTTGTCTGAACTCTTACTGAGGCTCTCTGCAGTTCCATAAATTACACTTGCTAAGTACTATTGGCCAAGACTTGAAGTCTCTTCAATACTGTCTCAAAATTCAATTCAGCAAGAACTTCATAAAGACCACAGGAACTGGAGAGCAGGCAAACAGACTAATTAAAGCTGCCACACTTTCTTTGTTACAATTGAAAGGCTGAAAACATCCGACTCTTTTTTACTTGGATTGAATAACCCACAAATGTGTAAATTATTCTTATCTTTTTACAGCTTTTAAAACAAGATTTCTAAACTGATTATAAAACTTTGGTACTATGAGGTGAGAAAGTCCTATATTCCCAGCTTGCAGATGGTTAAATGATGGCAAGAAAAAATATCCAGTTAAATCGTTACTAAATAAAGTCTTTATTTTGGAGATAGTAGAGACCTGTACACATATAGATTTTAGAATATATTGAGAGACTAACCTGTGCTCCTCACCCAGCTGTTTCCATCTAAGCACCCATTAATCTACTTAGCCAATAAGAACTGCAATTCGGAAAAATGGAAGTCAGGTCTGAGTACTGCTGCTGAACAGCAAATGCTGTATAGTTCAGTAGCAGTGAGTTAGCAGTTCACCCTTTCTCTCACTTTACCCCCACATGAGAACTCAAGCATATAGCTCTAATTATCTTTATGTCCACATTTTCCTGAAGATGTGCTTGTACCATTACATCTCTCTAATCTCTCTACAAGAATAATGTAAAACATAAAGAAAAAAAGGGTGAACTTACCTGGTGGACTAAAACTTGCTTTCCACTTCATCATTGCATTCCCACGGGTGTAAAATTCTACTGAACCTTCACCTTCACTTGAACAGATTTTGAAACCGCTGGAAATCACTTGCCCACCAGAGGCAGGGGGAAACTTCGTCTGTTGGTCTTGAGTCTTCCAGAAAAAGGAAAACGTTACTCCTGATGGAAGGAAGCAAGAATGGATTTTTAATGAAAATCTTCCATCTTCACTGTGCTTTAATGATGCTTGAGTAACTTCATGAGGTGCTGACGAATCGAACACTAAAGAAACTTCTCATTATGCTGAAAGACTCAGGGAAGAATGTTTTTGTTTGTAAGATACTGAGAATGCTCTGGTGTTATAAAAATAAATTATTCTGAATATTATATTATACTGTGGATGTAGGAATAATATGACTTGCAGATATTTTTTACTTCCTAATGGTATGAAAAAATGTATTAGAAGGTACTGTATGTATCTGACAATATGTCTGCAGTGGGATAATGAATTCTCTTTTCCAGTACTCTCATGTAATAGAAAGGGTATCTTCTCTCTGAATTTCTTCTTCTTTCTTAGAAAGTAAATGCATAGCTAAAAAAAATAATCCTATTTCAGGTTTGAAAAATGGCTTAAATCAGTAAAAGCAAGAAAATTCAGTGTTTGCAACAGTGTTTAAGATTAGGGACTTCTGGAGGTTACGTATGGAAGGATCAGTAGTAAATTGTGGTTTTTTACTTTGACTAAATCTTAAGTCACTAGCATAGGTACTGATAGTGACTGGTTATGTACTTATGTTGATAGCTGCATACAGTTCTAATGTTCTTCTATAATCAGTGTGTCAAATCAGTGCACCCTTATAACACTGGTCATGTTGTGATCTTTACCCAAGATGGGTACCCACATAGGGAAGAAATGTAAGTGTCTGTGGATATGGACAAATGGATTTCAAGAAATCAGAAATTTTAAATAATTGTCTCCAAAAATAAGTTTGAAAAAAGCATTCCTGCTGAAATACCACACATTTAAAACATAGTCTCCTAAATTTCACCTGTAGGATGATAGGATGACTTACATTTGTCACAGTATTGTAGCACCATTAATCTTGGTGCTAGATGAAAGATTCATGGTACTGTAAGCTTATTTTTGTTTTTGTTTTAGTTAATGTACAGCAGATCATTGATCTGAGCAGTTAGTGGTTACTTGTAATTTCAAACGCAGTTAGGAAAAAACTGCATTGTAGCAAAAGTGCTGAGTCAGGGCTTGAAGCAGTGATGGAGCACCTGGTGGGAAGGCAGGGCCAACCCAGGGGAACTCAGGTGCAGGCAGTGGTTGCGTGCAATTTAAGGGTTGGCAGTGGAGGCAGGGGTATCTTACTGGAGATTCCTGTATGCCTGAGGCCTTTTGAAGGTAAGCGGTGTCTTTCCTTTATTTCTGTGCCCATGGCTGTTGTGTTTGAGCAAACCCTCACGAAATACAGCCTAGGACCTTGTTGCTATGCTGCTGCTGTTGTTGTGCTTTCCATTGCATTACACGCGTTTTCAGTAATCTCCACTCAATTGTTTTAAAAGCCAATGAAGAAATGTGTCATGCTGGAATTTTAGATGATTCATTACATTGTTATTGAATTACATAATTTGATAGTAAAAGCTAATATTAATAAATTAGGTTACTAACCTTCAGGTCCACAAACTTCTGGGTTACTAATGCAGGAATTTTGATATCTTCCAAAGAAGAGAAAGGTAACTCCTTTCTTTTCAGTAACATAAATTCCTTTGTTCACCATTCCTTCTACAATGTCTAAAGGAAAAGCAAAATATAGCTTAACATCTATGTAAGTTAAAAATTGTTGGAAACTTGATTTTTAGCAGGTTTGTACACTTCCTTAATTTTTTTTCATCTACAATCTTTGTGGTTGGTTGGTTCTGTGTTTTCTTTTCTGATTGTTTCTTTTTGAAGAGTAATACAGATAATTATTTCAAGTTTGTAATAATTATACTCTTCACTCCAATTCTTGCTTAACTAAAATGTATTAGCAGAACTTGTACACCAAAAACAGAACCCAAAAATCATTATTTTGAAGTAGTCAGAACAAACACTACAACTTCCAGACTTCTGAATGCTGGGCACATCATGCAGTTACTTCTGTCTTGCTGTTAAGTAGATTTGGGCAAAAAAAAACCTTTAATCAATAAAAAAATGTAACAATATTTGTTTTTCACTTTTTGAAAGGGAAATTTTGTGATCAAAATCCACTTTTCATTATATATGAATATAAATAAAGTATACTTGACAAACTTTATTTAAAAGACAGGAAAATATCTTTTGAACATGCTTTGGTGTGACATTTTATATACATGTGTGTATATATGTATACATAACTCATAAAAGCTACTCCTTTCTCTAACATGGATAATGATTATTTGTCTTGTGAGTTGCTTGTGTTCTCTGCTTTAAAAAGCACTGTTTATTCATTCCCTAATAACCAAAGCACACGAGGCATCCTAATACTCAGAAAACCTGACACACGTTTAGCACAGGAAACCTCTCTGAGATCTGAGAGTCCAGCTGGTTGTGCTAGGAGTTCTGCAATGGTTATGAAGGTTCAGTATCTTGGTTTTAAGACCCTTCTCTGTAACTTCTGACTGAAAAAAAAAGCATTAGGGAAAGAGCTGCTGCAAGGGAAACATCAGCACTGAGCACAGTGTCTTCTCTGAAGTGCAGAAATTGTCATCTAGGTGCTGCTTGATATTTGGGAACTAATGAGATTATAACGGAAATGAGAAATGCACAAAAAAGGTCTGGAACACCAAAAGGGTGGGACGTAAAGGATTTTCCTTTGTATTTATATGTGTACATCTGCCTGACTTGATACAAGCCTTTGATCTTATGGCCTTTGAGCCTTGAAGTGAAAATCAAACCAGGCCCAGGTTGATGCACAGGCAGTGCTGGAGCCAGGCTGTGTAAATACCAACGGAGTGATAATCAGAAATAGTGTTGTCACTGCTTCAGGGTGGTGCATCCCCTCCTGCACTGGAGACCTGGGAATGTCACTTCCAGAATGTAGGCGACCAGAGGGAATAGAGGCAGCCATACTGGCCCATCTGCAGGGTAACAGCACCCAAGAAGGCAGCAGATGCAGCATGTAATCCTCAGTGAACACACCCAAATATTTTCTTAGTATTTGCATTGAGATTCGGGATGAGCTGTAATTTTCAGGTGTGTTTCCCTTTTTTGAGCAAGAAGTCATCAAAACAGATGAGAATTCAGTTCTTTTTAAAAATTAGAGTAAGTACTACAGAGCAAAGCAAATATTTGTGAGTTTAAATCATTCTGGCTAGATTAATATTTAAATAAATACCATAAACTATTGCGTTTCTGTTTCCATTGCATTTCCTTTGCCATTTTAATGTCCGTGCTGAACGTGTCTTACTACATGACAGCTATACAGAAGTTCTATAAAGCAGATAAATGAGGACTGGAAGGAATTGGGGTCATTTGACATTCGTTACAGAGTTCACTTTTGCCAGCATACTTTAAGAGAGCAGAAAAATATTGGCTTATCATTCTAATATGGGCTTCTTAGTATCCAAATGACTTCTACCATTTTCATCCTTCTCTTAGATTAGATTTTCCAGTGAGTAGATGTGAGCTGATACTTAATCTTTAAGTGGACAACAGGCCTGTGTCAATTGTCCAAGTATAAGCCCCTAGTGACTTCAGCTAAGTGGCTTTGGTTACATTCACTTAGTTTCCAGTCTGGCAGGCTTCTGCATGGAGTGTTGTCATTTTCTGTTCTTCCTTTAATATGCTACCACAGTGATGGGGGGAAAAATCATTAAAAGGCTATATATCTAAGGTTTGTACTAGCTTTATTGTCATTATTAATATGTTAATGAAACGTAATAATTGACAAGATTACTTCCAGGACTTGCAAATTGACTTGCATTTGCATTTCTTAATGTGTCCTTTAAAAATGAATATGAAGTGATGATAAATAGGCTTTTTTTTTTTCCCCCAAGGTTTAAAAAAAACATAAAACAAACAAAAAAAAACAAACAAAAAAAAACATTTGTTCTAACATGATCCACTGAAACGTTATCTGCTTCTCCTACACCTAGTAAAAAAATAATAATAATAATAAAAAATCTTGGGCTTTTGAGAGCTACTGGGGTCCATCCTTCCATGGACTGTTTATCAACGGGATGCCACTTCTAGTAATCTGAAGTAATTCTGGTAATATTCTAGCAATGTTTGTTTTTTTTTTTTTAATTTCAGTCAGTGTAAATATAGACCTGATCAACTGAACCAAAACTCAACTTTGAGTACAGTGTTACAAGAACCCTCCAAGCCTGACAAATGCACAACAATAAAAATGTAAATCCTCACCTACAGTTGCAGAGAAGTTAGAGTAGGCAGAGTCATTGGTATATACAAAGGTAGAGTTATGGGAAGGAAGCACAGTGAAGTTGTGGATTCTTAGAGCTGGGTGAAACAACAAAAAAACAAGCAAATAAGAAAAACAATGAATAAACACAATCAGTAATGATTTGACCAGTTCATATCTCTCAACTTAGCTTAGATCATAGAGGTTGGGCAGTGGCCTTTAAAACTGTTGCATAACAATGTCTCACTAACAATCTGAATGTATGTGCATGTATGTTGTGTCCCTTTACTACACAATTTAAATATGGTATCACTAAGACCATTTTTTTTTCCTGGCAGGAACACAAGAGGAAAAACACAACAGTAAAACTGCACTTGGATGAAGGGCTCTGAATACAATCAGGTCAGTAACAAATTCTTGTTATTTCAAAAATGATTATGTGGTGAAAAAGTTATGGTAGCTCAAGTCATGATCCATTTCTGGGTTTCCCCAATGCAAGAGATACATGGAGATACTGGAGCAAGTCCCATGAAGGCCACAAAGATGAAGGTATTGGAGCATCTGGCACACCAGGGCAGGGTGAGGGAGTGGGGTTGCTCACCCTGGAGAGGAGAAGGCTCAGGTATCTTATCAAAGCATATAAACACCCAGTGGGAGGGGTAATGCCAGACCCTCCTCGGTGTATCTAGTGAACAGATAAGAGGCTATGGGAACAAGTTGAAACAGGAAATTTCATTTAAACGTGTGCTTTTTGTCTAAATATTTTTTAATGAAAAATTACAAGGGTCAGGTGCTGGAATAGCTTGCAAAGAGAAATTGTTGTGTCTCCATCATTGGAGATATTCAAAACCTTATGGGACGCAGCACAGCCATTGACAAGCAGACTGTCAACAGGTCTGAAAGAACAGCACCAACACTTGTTTGTATCTAGAGCCATTCCACCTGCTATCTGGGAGCTATCAAGTTAATTTAGGTATCTAACAATAATTTTTTTTCCCCTCCCCATTTTGATATTTTGAGAATATCTTTGACACTAATTGTTTACACTGGGTGGGTAAACAGAGCTTGATGAAAAGCCTGTGTAAGTAAATAGATGTGCTGATTTGGGATTTAGACCATCTGGGCTCGGGGGGGGAGGAGGGGAAGGCAAATACTCAAAAAAAAAAAAAAAAAAAAAAAAATCAAGGAAATATATGGAAAACGAGGGGTGAGATGAAAACCTGAACATGGCCACATTTTTATTTTATTTGATGTTTTTCAAGTTGGATGTTTCCCTTCAATTCCTTTTACTGCTTTTATTTTTGAGATAACTGAAAAAATAATTTACTGACACTGCCTCTCACAACACAAATACATTGAGAGATATAAATCTGGCTTCACACACAATGACTTCAACAAATAAAATGGATTAACATGACGGACAGACTATGATGCTTCAAGTATTTAAGAGAAGAAACATGGAATGAAAATAATTGCATGAAATTATGATGAGTGGAAAAAACAGGACTAGCATAATAGAGTTGTGTAATCAGAATGGTATCAAAATCTAGCAAATTGTTACCTGCATTAGATTACAAGAATTAAACTTTTCTTGTGTATCGAAGTCAAACATCAGAGAGGTACATAAAACTTCTGTATGCAGTTGAAAAAAAGATTTTTGGCCACCACGTAGTGAGACAAAGTCCTCCAAATCTCCTTTTTTTTTTTTTTTTTTCCCTTCCCCCAATAGGATCATAAAGCTGGCTATATATAATGTTATTTTACACATAACAGGATTCAAAGGCAGTTATTCATGTAAGCCAGTCTTATTCTTCTTTGTGGGATCAGGAACTTTTATATATTCTAATTCACTCTTTCATGCTACCATTGAAAAGATTCCTGATTTTTGCTGAAATAATGTGATTTAACAAGTTTCAAAAAATAATCTTTCCAACACTGTGCAATTATAATTTGTCCAACAGCTGTAATTCATGCTTGATTTAAATATTCCTCAATTACTTTAAAAACAACATCTTTGTAATAAGGATGTTGAAACAATTTAGAAAATGAGATTCGCATACTTTCAGAGGACTTGTATCTTAGCTTTCCTTAGATAAATTCTGGTCCTTTTAGAATTAGGTGGGGATGCTGCCATCAGCCTCTCATGAGAACAGAATATTGCCCAGATTTATTTCTGCCAGTTTCATTCCTTAAAATAATTCCTGGAAGGATGGGTCGAACAGTCTAAAATCCTTTAGGATCATGGAATAAGAGGTTTAAGATATTTATAGATTTTTTTTCTTTCCCCCTACTTAGAAACAGAGATTTATGTTCCCAATTACGTATAATAAATAGCACTAGCTCTGCACTTAAGTAACATTTTTCATGTAAGATTGTAAAGGTCTCCAACTCTTGTTTTAATCTCTTGCTGTCACATTTCTGCACAAGAACACTATGGTCACCAGTATTAGTACTGCAGCTGCTCTTCACTAGTACAGAAGTTGAGCTCAGTGGCCAAAGAGGTCAGCACAGTGTGGTAAGTATTGGGGAGTACGTATATCAGCCCAACTTCCAATTGGCTAAAAAGTCTCAAGGGAAAACAGTTCTCATGTGGAAACAACTAATGGACTTTCGAGCCTCAGAAGGAAGCAGAATATAGCTGAAAATTGCTCCTGAAAGGTATGACTCTACAGGTTCATAATGCAGCAGTGGGATATTGTGGTTCTGCTGGAACTCCATCAGTTACATCACTTGCGCATCCCTGGGAAGTCATCTCTTCTTTCCAAAACATCAGAACCAGAAAACTGCTGAAACCAACCGTTCTAATATCATTTCCCCTGAGTTGTTGCAGTTCTGACAACTGACTCTTTCCAATCAGTGAGGGTTTTGCTTTACCAAGTCTTTCATGAATTTCCTCAACTGGAAAAAAAGAAAAAAAAAAAAAAGCACAGAACTACTCTTGCTATAATAGGGCTTTTAGAGAAGTATTGAAAAATATAAAAATGATTAAGAAGTATTCAGATAAGAGCCTTGCACTTCTTTTTCTATGGATACTAAATGAGATTTTTTTCAAAAGTGCCTTTGGGGTTAGGCATTTAACTGCTTCTGAAAAGTTAAAAAGAACCAAGCGTTTCACTGCTGGCATAGCCAAAGATCTCAGTTGCTGAGCTTATTTAGTGCATATTATGTATGTACAAAGTCAGCTAATAACCGTGTTATTTCAGTGACTCTCTGGATCATGAAAAATTCACTTCATAACCTTAACAATGCATGGACAGAATGTCTGAGAATACTCTGCAAAAATCAGCTCTCAAATATAATGTCACTTGAACACATTGAATCACATGAAAGCATTGCAGAAACATTAACTTAAAATCTCAGCTGCTGCAGTAAAAAAGCTAACTGCTCTCATTTCTCCTGCTCGCTGTCTACTTACAGACTGCACAAATACTTATGTTATTGCCACTGTCAATGAATCCTTTGTCTACCTCCGTTCGTATCCCGAAACTCATGAATTCCATCCACGTCTTCCAGCGGCCAGTAATGGGAAGCTGATGAAAAAACTTTGAACCCTTTCAAGGAAACAGATGAAGAAGGTGTTATATCTGTTGTTTGACCTTACTTTAACAAGTTTCTACAAAGAAGAACAATAGAGGAGGTCAATAGGTCAATTAAAACAAGATATATTATCTGCAACGTTTGATTTACATAAGCAAGACCATGAATCAAAATGGCAAGGGAGATTAAAGCTGGATATCTGACTGACCTCTGTGGAAAACCTCTGCTTTTAGAATTCACCTGCTTTTTTTTTCTTTTCCTAATTATACTTAAAATCTGTAATTGTTTCTGACCAAACTTCTGTTGGTGTATCAGGCAGCATTTGTCAGCACCAGCTCAGAAATTGTTCTGATAATTTCAGGATTTCACCCAGCTTTTAAAATGTATTATGGACAGTCCAAAACATCAAGAAGGGAATGTGGAGGGGTGAATGTTTCACCTTTGTAGAACAATTTCTCTGCTTCTGCCTTCTCAGTACAGGACTCCAATACCCCCACTTAAATTGAAATCGAGAAGATGCTAAAGAGTTCCAAAGACTCTTATCCTCTTCTCAAAACTGACAGGAAACCAGTGCAACGCTGTCAGATGATACTAATGCAAGCATTTTTCACTGTTGTCCTGTACTGAGGAACAGTAATCAGAAATGAGCACTAGTGCTTGGTGTCTCCAGGTAATTCACACAGCGACTGAGCATAGAGCAGAACGATTCCCTTTAACAGAAGGAATTTGATCTTCCCCAAGAGAAGTGGTTCCAGGTCGCTCAGCTACGTGGTGGGGGAGATGCTTGTGGCCTTTGTTTTCCTAAACGTCCTCCTTAGCACCAGATACGCTGACAAAAGCAGAACATCTGCTGGTTTCCACTGGCAGATTTAGCAGTGTAGCTTAATCGCTGTGAGTTAGAACAGGTTTTAGGAATTGTGACTACTCTAACCTGAGCAGAAGTGGGCAGTCCAATGCAATCCAATTTTGCGTTCATGTGATGTCTGTTCTAAAGGTATAGCGTTAATAATGTAGGAAAACATGGACCATAATTTCTTTTTAGCTACAAGAAATCTTTTATTCTGAAAGTAAATAATTTAAGCAGCTGTGCTAGGAGAAATTAATGATCTCCTGTAGCCAGGGAAGGTTTAGAAGGTTGATACAGATGCATGGAAATTTTACTGTGAATACAAAATCATAGCACAGGATCCCATTAGTTTGAGTTAATCTTTTCTTTTTTGGAGGAGAACAAAGTGAGTACTTAAAATCAGCATTTTTGACTTGGATGTCAATCAAAGTGATTATTAGGTGTTTTCTGGTTCTCCCTTAATATCCCTACTCTCAAATTAAAACATACTGAAAGTAATAAGCATTCTCTTTCTTTCTCCCCTCCTCATCTACATTCATACAATGAAGTTCCATGGATTTGTTCCAAAAAAACGATCTCCCTCACCTCCTTGAACTCCCTGACTATGTTTTTTAATACTTTTCATAAAACACCATTGAGATACGGCCCCATCCATCCCCTGGACAATGCATGAAGTAGAAAAAAAGATAACTAGCTAGCTTCAAGAAAATCTCTCTGCCTTTCACATCTTTGTTCTTCTGATGGATATTTAATACTGAGTTTGAATTGATCTAACAAAGTACAACTTTAACTCCCCAAAACTCTTACCAGTGAATAATCTTACTTAAGAAAAATAAAGAACAAGTGCATCTTCAGGTGTAGGAGTACAGAACTTCTGGGGTCTCCAAGAGAAGTGAAACAAACTTCCTTATAAAGTTATACTGTATGTGTAGTTCTTTGCCCTACAACCAATTTGTTTTGCTTTTTTTTTTACCAAGCAACCTTTCAAGGGCCTCAGAAACAAAGAAAAGTTTCTTAAATACCACTTTAACTGTTGAACACCATACAAAAGCTCCCAAAACCGTGTGCAAATTAAAACAAATCACAAATAGTGTCCTTTGCCACTTAGGGACTTTCTTTACTCTAAAGAGAGATTTGAACAGCTTGCCCATTTGACAATTATTCTACCATTTTGTTTTTCTGGATGCAGATCAGGTTTCGTTATAATGGAATTGCAGGGGCAAAAATGTTATGTGGCCTTCAGCTTTCTAATCAAACGATGGAGCGATGAACTCTTGGGATGTTTCTCATCCTCATGGTATAGTTTCAGAGCAGAGTATAGTTTCAGAGTTTAGGAGAGGAGCCTAAGACTGAATGGGAGTATAAAACTGACAAAATTCTTACACATCACAATAAACAGTCACAGATCTGAAAGCACAAAGCTATGCGAAGCTTTGATTTTGTGAGAAGGAATGAAGTACTCTGATTGCAAATGGAATAGTACCAACGTTGCCTAACAAACTGTTTCTAATTGACCAGGAACTACAGTTGGCCTACCTAACTAGGAGTGTTTGCTGTTGACATAGAGATTTTCCCACGTAGAGGGAACATGAGTGTAAATAGATGAGATAGGGATGCGTTTAGAGAAATAGATGAGGTTCTGTGGTCACATTTCCTTTGGATACTTGAAAAAATACAAAGAAAAGCATAGTTGCTAACAAAAGGAGAAAGCTACCGGCGAGGTAGGAGAATAATGACACAGAATAGGCATGCACAGAGCCAAATCTGAGAATTCCAAGCAGTCCAACTCAACTAAGCTGTGTGTGGAAAGGCATGCTGAGGGAGGAGGGTGTAGGAACAAGCTTTCATTTACATAAGCCATATCTGGGTATGTGTTCAGTTCTGTCTTCAAAGAGTACGTAGTAGCTGCTGCAAAAGAAGTTAGAGTGATGGATTTCTGTGATATTAAGAGAATCCACGTAGGTAACCTGTGCTGAAGGACCTCCATTACTACCCTCAAAAAATCTATTTTGCAGAGCCTGCTGTTACACAGTGTGCTTATCTGCAAATAACTCTTACTTCCATTAACATTTACTCTTTGTATCAGGGGAAAAAAAGATTAAAGTTAACAGAAGTGTCAGAAAACTATAGCAAAACAGAGGAAAATAGATAAACAAGAAAAATCTGTAGGAAGGAAATGAATTGATGCCAGAAATTGTATCATGATATGGCGTGAGTATTTTATTAATGGCAGTAGTGCAGTTGGTATCAGATTCCTAAGGAGAAGCTTCTAAGAGCCTTACGTTTTGAAGCTGGGAAAAACGGGCAAAGAAAACGGGAAAGCAACCAAAGATGCAGCAAAGAAATGAATTGCCCAGAGCCATCGGCAGGTTGGTGGCTTTCCTAGCTGCCAGTTCTGAACTATATAAAGCCATGCTGCTGTCCCACTAACAGCCCCAAGAAAACTTCTGAAAACAAATAGCTATTGCTTTGAATTCAGCTAATATACGTATAGTTCTTTCGGTAGATAATTACTCTGTGTTTAGAACAAAAGTGCTTCTGAATTGTTTACAGTCTCTACAGGTTCAGAAAGCATCACTCCCAGCTACATATCCCCATAGACAAATGTCATATAGCTTGCCCCCCCAATAAGGGAGACCATTACTCCCTTACTGGCTCTACTGGCCTGAAGCCTGTCATCCCTCTCGATAGGAAAAGAGATGGTATTTCTTAGTCTGAATGAAGGTAGAACACAAAACTAGTCTGAAGTTACTGCCATAGCAGACAACATAACTCCACATCACACTGTATTTTATTTTGAGCGTAATTATATATTGTGGGAACTTAACAGCACAAAGCAATGCATGAATTGCAAAGCAGTAAAATTGTACTCGTACACCACCATGAGGCTTGAGGTTAAACTATTTATATAAACAGAAGGATTCAGCAGTTACACACACAGACCCCAAATAAGCTTCAAGTGAGATTTTCTGCATTGAAAACAGATGAGAGATCTTTGAAACACTCTAGAACTGATTTTAACTGAAGCATGATGGCTAGGAGGAGGGTAGATCACTTGATGCTGTGGCAAAGTACACAAACCAGCACATCTAAATCAAAGAATTAAAACAATGAGCACAAGAAGAGAGAGAGGGAAAAAAAAAACAAACAGCCTGTGTAGAAATTTAGTTCAGAAACTATGCTCTAAAACATAACAATAAGCACTGTATAGAGAAATTCCCTATCAAATACAAGCCATTTTTTTTCAAACATGCTTCTATGCAGATGTTTAGCAGATAGGCTACTGAATTTATACTGCCTGGGATGGTCTGATACTTTGATCATTCAGTCTATTGTATTTTTACTAAAGAGCTGACATTCAAATGTGGGGTCACTGATTCCTGGAGCTACTAAACCAATGGAAAATACAAAGTAAGAAACAATATATAGGGTGCATACATATATAAAAGCACGGTGTCATAAAGTAAAAGTAAAACGTTCCTTACCTGGGTGTTCGAGTAGCTGGGAATAGTTTCCATACACCTGCACATAAAACATTTTATAATGAGACATGGTGAGGCAAAACTTGCTAAGAGGAATCCAAATACACATCAGTGCTGATCGTATTCAGAACATTACCTGGTATTTGAACTGAAATAAAATCAGCAAAGAATAATGACAGCAAAGCAGAGACAATAAATTCTTCATCGTCTATTTAAGGTTAGAAGTACAACTGAGATCAAATTCCTGCCAGTTTTCAATCATAAGTTTTCCTCAGCTACTTTTTGTATTAAAAGGGACATTTTCCATGTAGGTTCAAGAAGTCTGTTCCTTCAGTGATGGTAAAATATCCTTCCGAGGATATACTATCCTTTAAGTAGTATTTGCTTCCTTCACACTTTGATCTCTTCATTTAACCACAAATAAATTACTGTGATTGCGGAAGAATTAAAAGCAATGTGCATCAGATCCGAAAGTTGTACCGTTCCGTGGAAAGAAGTCAAATATTTTCTGCTAGAATCTGTGCCAAAAAGAAAATATCTTGTTTTCAACTTTCTTCCTATGGTTGTCTTTTCCTTTCAATTACTTTCACGTTGTCAGAGATCCGAAGCCAGTTTTGGTTTTGCTAGCAAGAAAATGTACTTCCTTGTAGCGCATAAAGCATAGAGCTCTCACTCTCTCCCTGGGAAATGAACTGAAAAGATTTGCTAACTCCTCGCTTGTCCAGCTCACGTTTGCACCTCCATCCCAGATCTTTTTGGGTGGAGAGCAAGTCTGAGTGATGTCATGCTTTCTTCTCAAACTTTGTCCCATTCTGGTACTCTATTTATATCACGTTGCTGCTGTCTCTTTTCTGGGTCCTAACACCAGCCAGCTAGGAACAAGTGGAAACAAGCTAATGTGCCTCAGCAAACAGATTAAAGAGATTACAGCTTTTAGCAATCTGCACATTCAAAGAAGAATCAAAGCCAGACCAATTGTTTCCAATTCAAATGTTTAAGAACAGTATAACAGATTTTGGACAAAAGTCTTTGAAGGAAAGCTAAGAGCTATTCATCAAAACAACAGGCTGTATTTGTTTAAAGGAACGTGACCTTTATGAAAATACTGCTTTAAATCACACTGCACTGAGGGATTAATATTGCTGTGTACCTGTCAAGGAGGGGAAACTGCAGCATTGAGCCATTTTACTGATTTTCTCAAAGATGCACAACAGAGCTCATGAAATAACCAGGAAATCCCTTCTGTAAGAGCCACAGCAATGCCATTGCCTTTATTTTTACCAAAACATAATTATGGTTTTTTTTAAATATGTCTCCCAAATCTGAACTTACCTTCAGCCCCTGACACTCAATCAGCAAAGCACTGCAAACACAGAAATCAACGCACACAAAAGATGCAGATCTATGGAAAAGTGACCACACACCGTGTTTCCATGTGTGTGCCACTGCCCACTGGGGCTTTTCTTCTGCCCATTAGCGATTCCCCTTCCCTCACCTATTTTGTGGCTCTCAGTCTTCTCTCTTCAGCTGCCCTTATCAGCCTATAATGGCCTGGTTCCTTCTATGGCATTTACCCTTTCTTACTGGCACATTTCATGGCATTTGCACCAAACTCTTGGGTTGAGCCAGTTTTTTTGGTTTTGTTTTGTTTCTTTCTATTGACCCTTTCTATAAAGGTTCTGTATTTGGAAGCCCAGCAGGTTGGCCTTGTGACTGTTTAACCAGCTGGTTCCACAGCAGTATAACTGAACTTCTGAATATTCTGGTGGAACTCCTTGCCACGAACTGAGCAGATGGGACTCCAGAGTTGAAGGATTAAAGGAACTTCATTAAATTCAGGAAGTTGCACGATACGTATCGCATATGGCACAAATTACCTTGTGTCACCAAAATTAATTATAAATCTTCAGTATCACCAAAATATACATCTTTGGTTTGTAACCTCAATTTGGAATTTTAACAAAGTAGTTTTGAGAGTTTTTAACTTTAGTTCATCCAAAAATGCAGTTTCCCACTCAGCTGCGCACAGTGTGGCTTCTGCTCATTTTCATGGAGTTTTTGAAATGTTGTTTTGTTTTGCAAAGATTCTTTCCCTCCCTCCTGTTAGCCAGAAAATCCTCTGTAACCTGAAAGTAGAATCTTGTGTAAACCCCAGGAATTCTGCATCACATACTAACAAGTAGAGCCACCCTTAGAAATAATAGAAAGTTGCAGCTAAAAATCAGGAAAGCATTAAACTGTAAAAAGAGGAGGACAGGAATTCGAAATATTTGCCAAGAGGGGCCTGTCAGGGGAGAGAATATGCTTACCAAAACAATTGTGAGAATCCAAGCAAACATGCTCACTGCCAGGAATTTTTGTGGAAACAGCAAATTGCAACCAGACATCAGAGATTATTTGCAGAAACAATTTCTAAACATATTCGTATGATCCTCTGGAAACCTGATCTGAGAAGTCACACTGCTCCCACCACAGACCAGAGGAAGCACTGGGCACCTTGCGTGCAAACCCAGCCACTGATCCGGCGCTCAGAAAACAAACAGCCGCAGTGGATTGCTCTCGAGTAACCTGCAGATAAATAATGTCCATTTAAAGCACTTGCACGTCAATAAGAGCACAAATATACAGCAGGTAACTGTGGGCAGCCTGTGCTCAGCAGCTGAGAGGATTCTCCCCAGGACAGCTCTCCCACAGCAGTGAGGAAGGGAGGAGCTGTGATGTCCTGGTGCTGGGAGGACTCCGTGAAAGGGTTCTCCAGGTTATCACATGCACCAGGTTTCTTTCTTCCTCTTTTCCTCTCTTTTTTTTGGGGTGGGGATGCAGTGGAGAGGTGTGTGGAGGGACACGACACTTTCAGTCAAAAAGGTTTAAGGAAAAAAAAAATCACAGTTTATGTTGGTGATATCACTTGCAACATTCCCACCCCGTTAATGAGTGTGGCTTATTACAAGGTGATTAAACTTTCAGTTTCAGCTTTCCCTGTGCAGCTCTTGTTCCTTCAGCATTATTATATTATTAAAACAATATTGGTAAATGCTGTGGTTGCCATTTAGCAGGAAATGAAAAACACTCTGATGTTAAAAATCTTTACTCCTTGCTATATGAACACAAACAAGAGAGAATAATCCTTTAAAGCATTTATTGTACAATGCAGAAGACAAACATTCCATAATATGGTTTTCTTCCTTTATTTTCATTGGAATCATTAACTCCCCACGAGAGACCTAGTGCATAACTGGGGCCAAAATGCTTTATCAAACATCTTAGAAAGGAATATTTTAAGATTAAATCTAAATGCTGGGTTTTGCTAAACTTCTCTCATATCACAGTCTGCTCGCATGCCAGTACATATTCAGGATTAAAATAGCTCCCTAGTCAAACTCTGTCAGTAACAGAAATTACTAACTAGGTGGTTGCAGCTGATATATCAACACCAACCTGCTGAAAGTTGTAGGTAGTTGTAGTGCCAGCTTGACGTGGAACTCCTGCATTTGTGGCTGTAGAACTGCTGTTACTTAACTTCAGTTACACAAGAAGTTGTGTTGTAAACAAAATCATCTGTCCTTTGGCACAGAAGACATCCAGGGCAACTCTGCTGTTTCTCTTGGAGCTGTTCAGATATGTACGTGTGCACAGTTTGGTTATATTTGCACATCTGCAAGGAACCTGAACAAAAGTTTGTGACACACACGTCTCCATCTCAAGGCACATGTTCCTACCAGTACAGCTCCGTTCACAATGACATGCTATTTACTCACTGAACTTGAAAGCAGAAGCAGTTTTTACAGAGGAATGGGTCACCTCTAGTGGTTTATTGTTCTTTGTATGATGTTATTCCAATCTGGAGTTGCTGTATTCCAGCTGTGTTTTGCCATGACTCCGTCACTTTTGAGATACTTGTATTTCTGTAATTGCCTTCCTCATTTTTTTCCATCGTAGGCAAACAGTATTAATTCTGATGAAAATCAACAAATTTAAATCTTCAACACAGAGCAAAAAATACATATATATATCCAAAGATCAGTTCTAATAGAAAGGAATGAAAGCAGCATTTTCTGGATGTTATGGGATAGTACTGTGCATACAAACTGTGTACAGTCACACGAACTAGTTTTGTCTGCAAGATGTACGCTGCCCGTGGAAGAACAGTGATATGGGAGGGCACAGATGTTTCACTAGCATGAGAAGCAGTTGCTAATAAGTTCTGTACGTATCTGTGACCGTATTGCTGTGATTAACAGTGGGATGATCCTTGATAATATGCACCTTTCAGACTGTGACCTTTTAATAGTGCTACTAGAACGCTGGGTGAGAGACTGCCAGATCTAAGACAGCAAACACCTTCACAAGTTCTCTATTGTGGCCCCAGCTCTGGGTGAGATCTCCCTCACTTAAATGCTTCTCAGGTCAGCAAAGAACCACATCAGCTATGAAAAAAAGCTTGGTCTGTAGAACAGCCTCAGGCATTACAGTTCTTATTTGCGTAGTGCCGCATAACAAAGGACGATGTAAGGGTGGCAATGGCCACCCTGTGATGCAAGTCCTTATATTATGTCAGTTAGTAAATGATACTTCGGCAAAAAATGAGAAAGCAGAACTCACACTCATGAAAATATTGCATGAGATTTTCCTGGAGGTGATCGTAGCCAAAAGGACAAACAGAAAAGTTCAGACTGAAGAAAAAGCAAACAAACAGAACTCGTGGAGCTAACTCAGCAAGGCTCATGCTATGATGAAAAAATATTGTTCTAATTAAGAGAATGAGAATGTTCTGAGTTGATGCCAGAAAATAAAGACTTCTGGCAATAGAATTTAGAACTAATCAAATGAATATAGCTTTATAAGGTTAATATAGTGTTATATATATTCTAATATATTCTTTTCAATCATTAAGAGCCTGGAGATTCAAAGACCAGCTCAGAAGGTGAATAACATCATATAATAAGCCACGCATTTGAGTTTTCTTTAAATAAGGTCCCACTTGCTGGCTGTAGTTATTAGATTACTCTCTCTTTTCATACTTACAATATTGTCCTATTCGACTTGTTTTTCTGTGGCAATTCCTTGAACATCTCATTCTATATACCAAACAAAATACTTGATTTCTTTTTCTTTGCAAAGTAGCATAAGTTTTTGTGCAAAACCTGAAGATTTAATTTTGATCTTTAATTATCTAGGCCTTAATGGCAACACAACCTTACATTAAATTTCCTAATCGTGTCATAAATAAAACACACAACTTTTTTGTTGTAGTTGTTTCATAAATATACATAATTAAACCAAGTTTTATTTGCAAAAAAAAAAAAAAAACAACACCAAAAAACCCTGCCTCTAAGAACTGCATTGTTGGCATCATACAGGTAGTCAGGCTCTCTTAATTACAAATGTATTTCATCATAATAAAGTTCTGTCTTTGGAATATGTGCCAGTTTTCCTCTAACAGTCTTAGCCAGTTCTCTCTTGCTCTTCTGGGTAAAAGTAACCATGAAAATTTCATTCAGCTGCTTTGTGAAACAAGTCTACTGGCACAAATGAAATTGATCTACAAGGTATTTCTCAGCAAAAACATCTGAGCCTATTATAAACATACATATTCAAGGCTTCTCTTTCTTTGGGGAATAACTCACCTTTTGTCTTTTGTAGTTTCATACTTCAGATCTAGGTGGGAAAAGCAATGAGAGTGGGAAGAGAAACCATGCAGAGTGCTAACTTAAATATTCACAGTAGCTTCCAAATCCACCTTCTTAAGATTTGAATAGTCTTCAAACCCGAAATGCTACTGATTAAATTGAGAGCATAAAATCTGAATTCCAGAGTACCTAAACTTCATGTTTCCAGTTTGGGGTACTGTGTCTTGGAGTTTTAGCCCTCCATTGACAGAAGAGGGTCAGTACATGCATCACATCCTAACATAAATGCTCTTTCAGGCATTGTTGTCCACTGTAACTATTACTGGGCTGGCCCTCACTCTGCTAAAATGCTTAATAACCTGATGAGAGAAACAACTTCCCTAGTAGAGAACCATTCAGTGAAATTCTCCACTACCAGAAGTCTCTCATTTCTCTTTTCCTCCAAACTGCATTTTTGCCTTTTGTTGTTTTTGTTTGTTTTTTGTTTGTTTGCTTTGATATCTAATTGTGGACTTCCACTAAGCATAACTGTACTAATTAGTTATGCTTTATTAGATCACTGTGTTAATAATCATCACGTTATTACCACATGAGAACTTTGCTCTACGATAAAGTATTTATCTATTCTCCATGCCTTTTCTGGTAGACCAACTTGCACGTGTACTTTCTTCTTCCTGCAGTAGAGTTTCCTCATATTCCCATGGGTTCAGTCCATTACAAGTATCTTCTCTCTTGTGGCTCGTTGTTTTATCAGCAATCTAGGCTGTACTTCTAAAGGTGCCACATTAGTTTTGTGCCAAGCTGCCAGTTCTTCTCCCATGCAACAGCTGCCATTGGTTCCACAAGCACTACATCAGCCAGGTGCTTATTTCTCCCTCTGCCCCAGGGACCTCCGCTGCACTGCACAGAGGTGGTTCTCCACACCACCAGTGTCCCAGTATCCCAGCAAGGCAGCGTTCAGATCAAACTGTCACAGGGCATTTCTTCCAGCTGTGTTTCAAATCTGAAGGCCTGAGCAGGGAAAGGTTTGCTCCCCTAATTATAATTACAACGAACTTCTGTTATTTAAACACATCTTTCTTTAATTCACTCTATTTCACGTTTGATGGATTTAGCTGAAGATGAAAGACCCAATGCAAAGCACAAATATTTTTAGCTTATTTTACACCAAGAAAACGGTGTACAGTGTTATCCAGTTTTAAACGTCTGTCAGTTAAGAGCCAGTACTGCTGCCAGCAGTCACAGCCATTTGCTACTCTTAGTAAGCCCGCAAGCACCCACATCACTTCCTCCAGGAGCGGTGCTGTGTGTGCAGCCGAGACGCTTCTGTTCCATCACAGCAGCTACAGACATCGCGCCCCACCCTGTGGCTGAAACCGGTACCTCAAAAGCAGCTCTCATCTGCCATCAGGTTTAAGCAAAACTGGAATTAGCGTGTTCTCAGGTGCACACTGCCAGCAAGGCAAAACAATTATGCAGTCACCAGGATTATTTTTTTTTAAGGCTGTGTCAGATTTGATCAGACTGAAGTTAATAACTGCTCTTATAACCTGATGCAGTGCTCATTTACCAGGCAACTTGTACACTTCTGAGTGGCAGAAGAGGCATTTCAAATGGCTTTTACAGGACAGTATTTGAAAACATACTGCACTCATTTACTACAGTTTGAATCCAGTGCTTTGACGTGGAAACCAGTTTTATTATACAAATAAAACACCCAAACCCAAAAGAGGAAAAAAATACTGCTTCCAAAATCAAATGGCAACAGACAATGCAAAAATAAAATATTTTAAAAGTATTTCAGGATTGCTTATGTGTAGGTCCATGTGCATTTGCACATGTATGTACCTGCGTCCATGCATGCATGAGCTCATGTCTGCATGTGTGTGCCTTGGTTTGTATTTGCTATTTTGTAACCTAACAAAAGAAACCTGTCAGGAAAGCTGACTTTCTTTTATATCCTCAGCATAAGCAAAATACACATTCCCTCCAGTGCTGTTTTCAAGAGACATCATGATATAAAGTCATCAGTCTGTTACCACCTTTGCGTAGCGACCCATCAGCAGCAATAGATCAGACAATCAGTTCCTGTGATTAACTTACATGGAGGACTTCAAAGCAAACAAGAACCATATACGTTAATTACATGATTTGCTACTTTTGGTTCTACATTTTGTACCTAAAAATGTACCTAGAAAACCTAAATGAATGATCCTGATGCTTCAGAACACAGTCAATAGTTTTACCATAGACATCATTATGTGTCACACAGCAGTTAAAACTTTCTTCTTAGCAGTTTTGGTCACTAGCATTAGAAACTAAACAAAGGTAGGGGCTTCCTGTATGTGACTTCGTTACCCTTACTAATTTTTCATTTCAGCTGACCTTGAACAGTGTGTAGTAGAAATGCTGAGTCACAGCCTGAAGCAGTGATGGAGCACCTGGTGGGAAGGCAGGGCCAAGCCAGGGGAGCTCAGGTGCAGGCAATGAATCTGAGTGATTGGAACGGGTGGAGCCAGGATCCAGCCCTTCCCAGACCTCATTTAAGGGTTAGCAGCCCAGGTGAAGGTATCTTGCTGGGGATCCTTGCTTATTTGAGGCCTTCTAAAGGTAAATAATTTTCTTCCTTTGTTTCTGAGTCTATGGTTGCTGCATTTGGGCTTATCTTCACTTGCTGCTCTGCTATCATTGCTGTGCTTTCCATCACATTGTAGCATTACGGTGTTAACATAGAAATAGGCAACAGAATGAATCAAGCTCAGTGCCTCTTAATTTTCTCAGTGTGGCTCCAAGTTACTGAGTCTTGATTTCTTTAAATATTAGAAGTGTGATTTCAGAGACAGTGGATCAAACACTAAAGCTATTATAAATGTTACATGAAACAGGGCTGTTTGTGTTTTGGGTTCTTGTTTTCTTTGAATGACATTTAGGAAACTTTTTCTTGCTTTTTTTAATGTTTTGGTCCCTTCAAGTAAACAGTTGGAACATTAAATTCTACCAAAAAATAAATAAAACTACTTTTTCTTCTAATGAACATCTACAGACACCTTTTCATTTCAGTGATAACCTCTAGAACACTAAGATCTGGGGGAAGTGTCGCTCACTAAACAATCTGTTCTCTTTGTAACAAGCTAAAAGAACTACCCAGAATTGAATGGTGTGGGTAATTGTCTTTCTGAGTCCAAGTCTGTAATCTTAAAAAAACAAAAAACAAAACAAACAAACAAAAACAAAACCACAACACTGGAATCTTGGTATTGACAATAGAACTTTCACTTCAACTTCATGTAGTAATTGAGTAATTAAATATACAGTGAGGCTGTGGCTTGGCTCATCACTTGAGTCACTGCAGGTCTGTTAAAAAGGTTCATGATACTAAGCCATGTTTTCAACCATTAAGTCCTTTCAAATTGAACTTTACAGGACTTGTCAGTCAGTTAAGTTTGCTCCAAAGCGAAAATAGTCTTTTTCTTTCTTTCTTCTTTGTTGGTAAAGCAATAGCCTAAACCAGGGGGACAGGCTGCAAACAGGAGGCCCCAGACACTACAAATCACCTTGGCTGTCTCCAGAGCAGTGGTAGAAAATGTTACTGGCCTAGGACAGCACAGTCACGTATATATCCCTAACATCAATTCCCAGGTTCTGGACACACAGAGATGGTTAAAATTGTTCCAGGGCATGTGCAAGAGCTCCTTCATGGGATGCTCATATTCCAGTTTGAGCCAGGAAAAGATTGCTAAATCAGATCAATGGAAGGACAAAAACAGAGACAACACACCCACATGAAAACTGACTGATGAAAGGCAGTGCAAGATTTATCTTTTCAGTTGTTTCAAAGACATTCACTTTGATCCCACTGGAGAGGCTTTTAAGGGCTCAGACAGCTATTGCCAAAAGCCAGGTGAGAGAAGGGGACTGGTACTGCCAAGTGGTTTCAATTAAACTCCAGAAGAGAAAAAAATTCTCAGCATTGCTTTTTGTAGCAGTTAGTATGAGCAGTTAGTATTGAGTATGAGCAATGGAACCATCTAAAGGCAGAAGGGGAAAGACGTAGGTAGTTGTTAAACTGTAACTTCCAGACGTAGGATGGACAGACTTTACCCTTCACCTTATTAGGCTTTTTATCTTATTTCCTAAGGAGATGCTCAACTCTCCTTCACTTAATAATACAGAAACAGCAAAACATTTCTTCAGGTATCCAACTTGCACGCTGCCATCACAGCTTTATTATGGAACTGGAAGTAATGAGCTTGTACTTCATCCTACCTCTGAATGTCAAAACTGAATCTAGTCTAACCATAAGTTATCCAAATATCTGAAACAAGGTGTTGGAGTGGGAAAACTTACTAAGTGATGTGTAGCAACGTATCAGAGCCCATGTTTAACCTCAGAGAGCAGTTTAGGAGGCAGAACAAAGTTGGTACTGCAAGGGATTTGTCTTACATCACTAATGATATGACTATTAAATAGCTTCTTAAAATAATTTTCCTCATTACTTGACTAAGTAACTTTATCTTCCTTAAACCCAACTATTAAAAGGCTGCAGAGCTGTAAATCTTTAAAAATTTTAACAAATTTCAACTGAGGAAATTGCACACTCACATCAGCACAGCCTGTGTTATTCAATCAACCATTAGCAGCTAAATACAAGAAGGAAAGTTGGAAGGTTTACTTTGCAGGACTAGAATTGCTGCCTACTCCCAAGCTTTTGAGGACTTTGTATTAACACTTAAGAACTTCATAGTCTTGTCACATCTCTTTTTAAAGATGAACTATCTCACTCTGCTTTAGAAGTCTTTAGCTGCTTGGTAGTAATTCAAAGCCTAGTGCCTGGATAGAGCAGGGGAGTTGTAGAGATTACACCACACACCTATGAAATAATACAAGCCTAACTCATACTATATTCTTTTCCACCCTGTGCTATCAACACTGTGGAATTACTTTTCTGAATTATCTATGCTTCTGAAATGGTGTTTTTTTGTGAGATAACTTGAAGGCTTCCCCATCAGTAAATCAGCAGCAGGTACTCAAGCTACCAGCAACCAAGACACACACCAGTCAGTAAACTCTACAGAGAAGACCCTGTAATATGAAGCTGAAGCAAGATGATGCAGCAGGAAATTCCAGTGGGATGTTAAGTCAAAGTTTCTCTTTTCCCAAGGCAAGCATGACATTCCTCATTTTCCCCTTAAGTGAAATAAGTTCTCAGTGAACTAAAGTGCTTACAATCTCATTATTTTAAAAACCCACAGAACTTAAACTTACACGAATTATATAATATTGTTCTCAAACATTTAATAGTCAATTTTTGCTGATATGCATCAGAATGAAGTGTTAAGAAATACTCAAGTAGGAGTTATGTATACAAACATGCAAGTTAAAAGGAATGAAATGCTCCACTTTATTAAGAAACCAAAAATACAAAACTGAAGAGTTCCAAGGCTTCACATACTCAAACACTACTGAAAAATGGTTTCTTTGTTTACTGGTAGTACTAATATTGACCAAGATTATTCTCTATAAGTGTTGATGTTTTCCATCATTTGTGCTGGAATAAGCTAGTTTCAAATTAAGAACTTGGTGCAGTTACAGTAAAGTCTAGGTATTTATGGGTTTCAGTTAATATGCTGTTCTTTAGCCAAGATTTAGCCAAGAGCATTTTAAGCTCATCTACAACTGTTTTCTAGTTAGTGAGTTTTAAGATGCTTAGTTTCATCAACTATAGCTCTACTAAATGATGCTCCATGCAAAGATACAGCTTGTAGTCACTTAACAGACCTAAATGTCATTCTTGACTACTTAAGAAAACAGCTCTGTGAAGGCATGTTGTAATACAGTTAAAGTTAAGAGAAAGTATCTAAAGGTAGCATATGCAAGCTGAACTACATTAACTCTTAAGACACTCCTCAGAACACAAACATTCCCACTTGGTATGGGTCAATTTATGCTTAGCTGGCTGGCACTCCAGCTCCACTTGCCAGTCAAGTGTTCACTGCTTTAGTTTCACCTGGCAGTTAGTTCAGCTTCCCTCAGATACTTTAGTTATATGCTTCAGGAAATCAATGGAAGGTTAACTGTTAGCTCTGATTTAGTAAGAGGAGCATAACAAAGGGAAGAAAATATTAAGAATGCAGAGACAGACAAGCATTAGCCTCAGTTAAAAGACACTTTCAAGACTTTTTCTAACAACGCATGAAAATTCACTTGCTTAGAGATATTTGAAATACAACTTTATTATCTAAACAAAAAAAAAAAGAATGGGAATGACAGAAACAAGATTTACCACATAACACTTTGATGTGACTGCAGCAGTCTTATATTTGAAACTCAAAAGGGAAAGTAATTGCAGTCCAAAAAACAGCTAAATATGCAGGTCCAAAATTATGAAGTTTTGTTGGGTTTTTTGTTTTGAACTGCCACACTCACTCCGAAGCCCATTCATCTCTTTCAGCATCCCAAAGATTAAGCACATGTTCTGCTCAGCTAGATAATAAAGTGGCAAACACGCTGCACCACTGACATCACAGGACAGTTGCCTATAAAACTAGACTTCTGACGCTGGGCTCCAGCTTCATCCCTCACAGGTCATCATCTTCATCTGGCAGTGCAGTGGTTTGAGCAATCTGGAAGAGAGAAGTAACATTTAGTAATTGTTCTTGGTTACTTGCCCCAGAAATCTAGATACTAGCTGTAAGGTAATCATTTGACTGTACCACTTTTCCTCAGTTACCTGTAAGTCTTGCTCATACTGTGCTGCCAGTGCTGGGTCCATAACAACTTCAGGTGGTGCAAGAGCAGGCATGGCAACAAATTCCAAGTTAGGATCTCCAATTAGCTTCCTAGCAAGCCAGAGGAACGGCTTCTCAAAGTTGTAGTTACTCTTGGCTGAAATGTCATAATACTGAAGAAAAAAAAAAGTATATTCAACACATAGAAGACCATCTGCTGCCAACACTTAGAACCTAATAAGATGCACACAATCAGCTCTAATGTGTCTTAGTATTCTTTTCAACTTCTTGACTTCTGTCTATGCCCTCAGAAGCATTTGAAATACGAGAGACTAGAAATGCAGTTTCATGCCAATATGCAGAAATTGATACTCTTAAGAAACAGTGTGATCAAAGATATTTCAGGACACAATAGCACCTCTACTTTCTCCTGTGACTTGGTCTAATTTCATCTTATTCCTAACTTTGAATGACTGAACAGCACACAAATGCAGTTAATAGACTTAAGTCTCTAATCCTGCAAACTCATGCCATCGTACCTGGAGATTCTTCTTCCTGTGGAAGACAATGGATTTTGCCTTGACTTTTCTGTCCTTAATATCCACTTTGTTGCCACACAACACTATAGGGATGTTTTCACATACCCGTACCAGATCTCTATGCCAGTTAGGTACATTCTTGTAAGTAACTCTTGATGTTACATCAAACATTATAATGGCACACTGAGCTGTAAAAAAAAAAAAACCCAAACAATTACGTCAAACAAGCAAGCACTTTCTTATGAAATGGAGTGAGAAAGAGTACCCACAGTAATCACTTATTAGGGGCACCAGCATTAGCTTTCTTCTCAGTCTCACAGTTGATAATATGCTGTTTACCAGATCAGCATGCAGGAAGATCAATGTGCAGGAGTCCACAGAACTCAGCCCATGACCCCATCCTGTCATCTTACATATTTGGTGCTCAACCCTAAATGCCACCTAGTTTTATTCATGCAGCTGTCCTGTGAATATTCTACTGTAATCCTCATGTAATTCATGCCATACAACAAAAGAAAATTTTAGTTCATCTAAGCACCTGAGAAAGACATCTTAACACCTACTGAACTAATCTCAGCCTATTGAGGCTTTCAGATAAGTTGAGAGCTTGTAGTTCACATCTTGGAATGCCCCTGTCCAGAACAGCTTGCAAAAGAACACTTGATTCTGATATTTCTAAAGGAAGAGTCAGGCTTTAAGCCTCTCTTGCAGAATGTTAAAAGATATGTAGGTGTCTTAAGTACTCACAAAACAGAGCTTGAAGATAAGGGACTATCACTACATATTTAGAAAGGCAACTACATATCCTTAATAGAGGTTGGAACTTCTTTATACTGTTTCAAGTTTTACATCTCGTTTCTTCCCAGTCTTTGCACCAGCACAGGATACTAATACAGATAGTTTTTACTCAATTAAGCACACTTATCTCTTAACCACTTAATTTCATGAGAACTATCACTTAAGGTACATGATTACTCTTCAGTAATATCAAGGCAGCAGCAGACTGAAACTATGTTTTAGTACAGAAACCTATCTGATCATATTTATACAGAATCTAAAAACTCATAAACCAGCTTATCAGTGAAAGCCACACTGAAAGCTTTCAGAGTGGCCAAACTGAATAGAACACAGGATCTCTCTACATATAAACACATCTTACCTTGGATGTAATAGCCATCTCGCAGACCACCAAATTTCTCCTGGCCAGCTGTGTCCCATACATTAAATTTAATAGGGCCTCTATTAGTATGGAATACCAGAGGATGAACTTCAACACCCAACGTTGCTGCAGTAATAGGAAAGAGCACTCGGTAAGTTGAGAACTATACTTTTAATTCTAACACACTAGATTTTGAGTATTTCTTCAGACATACCTACGTATTTCTTCTCAAATTCACCAGTCAAATGACGTTTTACAAATGTTGTTTTACCAGTGCCACCATCACCAACCAGGACAAGCTGTAAATACATTTAAGTAAAGAAGGTCAGAGCAACATGCTTTGTCTTACAAAATACTGTAGAGTAAGCACTGAAATTCCCAATGAAATAGCTCACTATGTTGGGCTCCAATTTGTTAAACCTGTCATTCTATAACTCCTGTCCAAATTCAGCTACTCCCTGTAATTGACAACTAGAACACATTGTCCACACAGTTATACTAAACTACAAGCATCTGAATTACTGGAGAAAAGAACTGTAATCTTGCAATTGGAAAAAAAACTGTTTTAGTAACAATTGGGATATACTAGATGAACACTGGAAAAAAAAAAAAAAACAACAAATATCAATCTTCCATGAAGCAGTCTTAATGACTTCTGGCTGTTAAGATAACAACTCTGCTCAATGATGTTCTGCCCCTAGTAGTTGATGTAGCATAAAACAAGTTGCTCTAAATCACTCCTAGCACTTTGTTGCTGTGAATGTTGCTCCATGAACTCAACACGTTTTAAGTGGTACTTTATGTAAAGTTATTTTTATATAAAGCTGCAAATAGCACCAGATTGATAGTGCAATAGACTGCTGTTGTAAGGCAAGGCAGCACACAATGGGCTAAGCACATTACTAAGAAGTCAGCACTTTAAAACCAAACCTACCATCCACAGCAGCTCTTGAGAGTTGTTCTTGATACTTTTCTATAGAAGAGGAAGAAAAATACAAAGTTACGACCCCTTACCTTAAACTGCACTTGGGGCTCTCCTTGGGCGGCCATGCTGGGTCTGCAGGGGAAATGGAAGCATGTGAGCTCACAGAGACGAGCTGGTTCAAGGCCCCGCCGGAAGGGGCCGGCCGCCGTTCTCGGCTCCCAAACCGCCTCCCGAGGCGCGTGCTCCGCGCGCCAGTCAGCGGCCGCCGCCGCGTAGGCCGAGCTTCGGCCCGGGCCGCCGCTCCCCTCCCCGCGCGTGGTCCCGGGCCCCGGATGGGGCAGGAAGAGCCTCCGGGCCGCCCCGCACGCGGCGGGAACGCGGTAATGGCGGCAACGGCTCCCCGCCCAGCCCCGGAGCCCGTAACGGAAGGCCGCCGCCGCCGCGCCCCTCGGGCTTCCAGGCTACGAAAACGGGGCCGAACCGCGGCCACCGCGGGGCGCCTCAAAGAAAGCCGGCCTCGCCTCGCTCCCTAGGAAGCGCTGCCCCGCGTCGCTCCCCCGTCCCGCCCGAAAACCTTCCCGGCGGCGGAGCTCGGAACGCGTCCCGCCGGGCTCCGAACGCAGCCCCCGTCCCCGCAGCGCCGGCCGGGCCCCACGGCACCATGACTGAGCAGCGCGCGCCTCCCCTCCCCCCACGGCCGCCCGGGCCGTTGGAGGCCCCGCTCCCGTTCCCCTCCCGCCCGCCGCCCGCCTTTTCCTCCGGCACGGAGACTGGTGCCGCTCTCGCCCCGCACGGCTCGCACCGAGGGGCGGAGGTCGGGGCCGCCACGCAGGCACGGCGCCCGGCGCGGCGCTCACGCGGGCCCGGCCTCGGCGCGACCCAGCCCAGCTCCCGCCGGGCGGCCGCTAACGGCAACCGCCCCACCGCCTCCTTCGCGGCGGCCCCGCTTCCCCCCGCCCGGCCTTAGAGGGAAGAGGAGGACGTCCCGACCCCGTTACCTTTCCCGAGGCTGCTAACCGCGTCGCTCCGTGCCGTGACTGGGCGCTGGGAAGATGGCGGAAGCGCGGTTCAAATACCCGGAGAGCGACGCCGCGCGGCCGCGGGGAGGGGGAGGGGCCGGCGTCACGTGGGCGGGCGGGCGCGCCGCTCGGACCCGCGGCGGCCGTTGTTGGGCGCCATGGCTGCGGCTCGTTGGGCGGCCCGGCTCTGCCGGCCCCGGCACCTCGTGTCTCTGCGCGGCCGGCAGCCGTCGGAGCGCGCGGCTGCCGCTGGGAAGGAGGCGGGTGGGCAGTGCTCGGCTCCGCGCTGCCCGTAGCATTCTCTGAGCCCTCACATTCGGATTATAGCGGAGCGAAGTTGTTCATAAACTTTGAAAGGACGGGGCAGATGCTTTGCATAGATGGATGCATTCCCAGTTCCCGGCTTCGCACTCATGTCCGTGTGCTCCGATTTTTCCCCTGCTGTAGTTCGGCAGTGTTCACTTGGTCTGCATAATGCCGGCTGGAGCATCCATAATCTCGAATGGATGGATTTTTAAATGCCTCTGGCCTGAACTAACGCCAGTGTTATTCAATGGTAGATGTTACATGCAAGTGCAGCTCATGTCCTGTTCGTCTCCCACTTCGTGGCAAAGTGGAGAGAAAATCTACAGGAGTCACTGCACTCTGCTCTACATTTTGCTTCTTTGATAGCAATTGAATCTTAAGTACTGCATAAGATTTTCTTTGTTGGAAAAAATACTGCCTTGCTGAACCGGTTGCTTATTTCTTTTTTTGTTTGTTTTTTTCTTTCTTTCTCTCTTTCTTTCTTTCTTTTTTTTTTTTTTTTTTTGGACAAACTGGTTTTTGGTGCTTGTTTTGTTGGTGTTCTTCAGCACATTTGCTGATCACCTCCAGGTGCTAGGAAGAATATAGAATATGTTGTGTAATATGTAGCCCATACATTTTTCTTAGCACAGCACTACCTTTATAAAACTTGTGAATTCCACTCTTCTTCTTGGCTAATAGGTGTACATTTATAAGTAGGAGCCCACAAAGCCACGTTAATGGAGTTTGGCAGTTTTTAAGAATATAAAAACTTCCAGGGAATAAAAAAATCAGTCTCTAACTTTGTTTGCAGAATGCTCAGTGTACTTCACAAACTTCTTGGAGTAAGAAATGTATAAGTAAACAATCTTCTCTTTCTTCAAACGTAAGCGGTAATACTATCTGATACTTTAACTTGGAATAAGTAAAATCAATGGCTAAAAGTCCCTTACCACAAGTTTTGAGCTCCTGTCAAATATTTACAAATGCTTATAAATTATTGTGTGGGATCCAGGTGTTATCATGCAAAAGTCAGTAAAGTCAGCGTTCAGTTCAGAGGATGTACAAAACACCTGCTCCAGATAGCTTCATTCTGGAAAGGCAACAGAATGCTTCCAAAGTGTTCATCAGCTGTGTTAGGTCACTGTCTAAGAGATTAGCCAGATATCACAAGATACTCAGCAGAATAATTACCTTTAAAACACTCTTACGTGATGTTCCCTATATCTTGATTTGGGTCAGCCATGAACAAACTCAGCATCTCAATGAGGCAGACAAGCGTGCAAGGAAAAAGGCAGCCCTTCAGTAAGGGTGTGAAGGTGCCCATGAGGAATGGTACAAAAGGATACAGTCACAGAGATCAACAGTATCTTAACTTACTGACTGCCCTATTAGCAGGAAACAAAATCAATTTGTAAACTGTGACAAAGACAACAACGTGTGGACGTATCTCTCAAGTCGAGCAGAGATTGTGGAAGCATCTCTGGAATAGGAGGTCCAGCAGGAGCCAAGGTGTGCACTGATATTCAAGGCAACACCAGGAACTGCACTGAAAGGTTTGAAGGGAAGTTAGTGCCTCTCAGCACGGTAGGCAGAATGGCTCGTACACTAGTTAACAGCAGCTCACAGTGCTAACTCACGAAGTTTAAATTTGCAGTCTAACACTAGAATAACATTCTTTACTGCTTTGGGGGTCCTATCACTGCAAGGCAAAGCTTTTCAACGCTTTGTAGCTGAAGAGTTACAAAAAAGTGGGTGTTCCATCTTCTGCTGCAGGAGAACGTGCTTCTCAGCTCCAGTCAGGAACGGGTCGCTCAGCGCCGGCGGTGAGCAGCAGGCTGTGCGCCTCTGGGACTGACCGTGATTTTGAGAAGCCTATCCACGTCAAGCACCGGAGAAAAATTAAATGAAACGCAACGACATGGCAACGTTTGACAACTCCCTCACGACAGTCACGTTTTTTTGAGGGTATATATCTGGCAGCACGGCCGCCTCGAGACCGGCACCTCCCTGCAGGTCACTGCGGTACCGTACAGCCGCCAGCGCGCGCTCCTGCACACGCACGTACGTTTTCCCGCCCATTTTCCTCACGGCACAACCCCGCCCCCTCCGCTCGCGCAGCCGCAGATCCCTTCCCGCCCAGCATCGCCCGCCGTGACGTCAGCAGAGCCCCGGCGAGCTTTCCGGCGGGCGCGTCGGCCGCGTCGGCCGCATGCGCGAAGCCTCGTAGCGTCACCCCGGAGCGCGGGGGGCGCGCGTGCGCGCTGCGCCGCGGGCTCCGGTTCGTCGCGTGGGGAGGAGTCACGGCCGTTGCCCCTCGCACCGCGGAAGGAGGGCGGGGCCGAGCGCTGGGCCCGGCCTGAGCGGGGCGGCGGCGGCTGCTGCGGGGGGGCGGCGAAGGGCGAGCGAGCCAGCCCGCGGGAGCGGCACTCGGCGAGGAGCTGAGGCGCCGCGGGGATGAAGGACCGGCTGGCTGACCTGGCAGAGGTGAGGGCGGCGGGGGCCGCCGTGGCCGCGGGGTGTAACGGTCGGAGAGGGGCGCGCGGCCCGGGCCGCTGCGGCGGCGCCACAGGCGTGTCCTCGGGGCGGGAAATGCTCGCGGCGCGGGTGGGACCGCCGTGCCGGACGGGAGACGTGTAACCGGCGGTCCGGCTCTCCGCAGGGTTTATTATGCCCGTGTTGACAAAATGGAAGCTTGGCGTGTTTATCCGTTCCCTTCCTTCCCTTTACTTGCGTTCTGGAAACGGCATTCTGAGGAAGCAAATGGGGTAGTTGGAGGGAGGCGCAGCGATGCCTCTCATCAACAGGATGTGGCCTGGTTTAAATGAAAGTTTTCCTGCATGGTTTTTCACTTTTTTTTTTTCTTTTCTAATTTGAGAATAAATAGAAATGGTGAACGCCAGTGTATGTTGTGTGTACTCTCCCTTTTTGGTTAAGTGTGGTATTTCTTTTAGGAGAAATAGAAACTGAAGTTTGCATGTTGTTAGAAGTGATAATGCTTTTCTTGAGTCCTCTTTTCGAAGGGGGAAAAATGTTACCTGTTAGTGCTTGTGGTTTATTAAGATATAACATTGTAGCTATTTGATATTCTTGTAAATACATTGTATTTGGTGCTTAAACAGTGTTAAAATACTTGCTGCAGAAAGAAATGGCATGCCTTTAACGGTTAGTATAGCCTTCAGGTAATACTGCATCCCATACCCAAGTAGAGGAAATTATGCCTTCTGTAGAAGGTGGGAACCTTAATGTGGTGCTGGACCTGCCAGCTGCCTGGTACATCTCCTTGGCTGTCAGAAAAGGAGCAATCTTGATGCTCTGAAAGAATCTCTTGAAACACTGGTGTGGTTTGAATAAACTGTTGCAGATCAGGGGAAGCCTGGTATCTGTAGATTCAGTGACACCTGGAGCAACACCTCTGCAGTAGGAAATTCTCTGGTAAGTATTTAAGGAGGCTCATAAGACTTCAACTTTAATGTGAGACCTATGGTGATCAAGTCCAACTTCCCAACCACTTCAAACACCAAAAGTTAAAGCATTATCCAAACGCTACCTGAAGACGTGGGGTGTCAAGCCACCATGCCAGGTTGTCTGTTTCTAACCACTTTCGTGGTGAATAACTTTTCCTAGTGTCTGATCCAAACCTCCCAGGTGCAGCTCTGTGCTGTTCCTGTGTATGCTGACATCGATTCCATGAGAAAAGAGCCCAGCACCACCTCTGCTTTTCTCCTCAGTGAGTTATAGGGAGCAAGGGCGTCAACTTAGAGTCTCCTTTTTCTCCAGATTAGATAAACCAAGTGATTCTAGAGTGCATAAAAACACATTAAGTAGTATTTTTTTATGAGCTAAAGGTTACTTGTGTAACAAAGGTAATGAGTTACTTGGGACAGGCAACCATAAAGATTTACAGTGTCCTGAACGTTGCTTCCTTGTACGCCATTCAGTTCTATGAATAATGTGGGAGTGTGTGTGTAAAGCTATGGTGTGCAGGGACAGCTGTGAATCTGATATTTGTGAATCTCAGATTTCTATCCCAAATAACTTTAGACAACACAGCTTATTTAGCCTGTAAGTTCTCTGTGCAATTTTTAAAGGTGTTATAAGTTGTGCATGGACAGCAGCTAGGCACCTGCTGCTTTCTCAGAGTGGGGGTAGATGGGGTGTGGTGGTGCTGTACTTCAGGAGCTGCTCTCACTGCAGCATTCTGCTCCAGTCTGTCAGCTGGTTGGCTCTGACTCATTGGGGTGGTGATGGTCATTTCTTTTTGTAGCCTAACACAGGAAAACAGCTCATGATCTGGACTGAGAATAACTTTGAATTGAATTCAGGGCAAGTAGAAGTCATTTTTAAACCAAAAATCTGTTCTATTTCAAAATTTAGTAATTAATTTGGTAAGGGTTCTTGAACTAGCCTTACTTCTGCCATTATGGAAGGCATGCAAAATGTCAGAAGTTCAATAAAGCATCCCATCTCAGCTGGGAGCTGAGAGAAATGATATTTGCCCAAGTATCTGGATTCTGTCATTTAACCCCACCTTTGAAGAAATTTGATACGTTGTGTATGTCTGAATGTTAGAGGTATATGGCCCAGATTCTCAATCCCAAGGTCAAGGTTAGAGCTGCAAACAGACCATTAGGTTGCCATTGGCATCAATGTAAGACTTTTTTTTTATCAGTTCTTTTTTGTAATAGTACTTGTTCTTTAGAGATAAGGCCTAGGAGAAGGAGTATGTTTGTGCTAAATTTCATCTTGGATGGACTGTGCTTGTCAAAAGAACATGTCACTTCAGTTGAAGAGTTAGTGAATAAGCTATATCTTAGGTATGTGATGATTTAAGAACATAAAGAACAGAGGGTGACAAGTCATCAGGTGTCCTTCAAGTGCTGATGTTCAAAGTAGACAGTACATAAATCTTTCAGCAAATTGTAGAGAGCCAATATATCTGTCATTCACGTCACTGCAACCAAACGTGAAGGCAAAGTACATGTGGGACAGACTGCAGGCTGCCTGATGGCGCAGCTCAGCTTCGTTGCAGCTGCACTTGTATAGGTAGGACTTAGGAGAAAGACTTCATACCTTTGGTTTAAGATTAGCTCAGATGTTTAGTGTTTTAATAAGATTTGACCACAGAAAAAGCTAATGTTTAATCTCTTAGCTGATACCATTTTCATTATTTTTGTTTCATTATCTAAATAATTTCCATATAAATAATTAGAAAACATTTTTTATTCAGTAAATGTATGCAGAAGGTGTTCTCTACATAAATGATGAAAACAGACATCTTTTAAAATGTAGCTCATTGTTGCCTTATGTCTGGTGACTTTTCAGCACCACAGTCTTTGATATGAGTAAAAGTTAAGTGACTTCTTTTGGGCATAGACTGTCACTCATTTTATTAAGCAAGGCTGTTAATTTGTTACAATCCCTAAGGATGGATTCTCTAATATTGTCATAAGGATCATCTCCCCGTGAGTAACTACTAGAAATGGCTGGGGACGTGACATGGAGTGAATTGATCATGGAGTGGTCCAAGAGAGCAGTAACATCTCAAATCTTTTATTTCAGCTGGGACACCGTGGTTCCTATGAGCATGAAAAACAGGTGATTTCTGACGAAAGTATTATTATACAACTTAATGGATTCCTTAACAAAGTGTAAATGAAAAATTTACTTAAAGATTTGGAATACCCCAGTAGATCTTATGCTTAGACCGTCATTGAATGTAACTTAATTAGGCAATAAGAAAGTTTTGACATCAGTTGGTTGTGAAAATCCTTTAATATTACCTATCTTGTAATTAGTTTTTGTAAGGTGATAATCCACTGTCTGTGGAACAATATAGTAATCTTGTTCTAATTTGGATTCAGTGCAGTTCAAGCAGTCTGTGCACTACAGAGGGAACTAGAGAACATGAAACTGGAACTCCTTACTTCTGTCATGCATGGCTCTCTTCCCTTGACCAAATTTGAATCTATTTATATCAAGAACCACTTGTGCTGAGCTGACTCATCGTTTAGGGAAGTGCCACTCAGGGAATGCACTGGGCTGAGTGCTCTGGAAATCTGCAGGAGCCATCACTGGGAGCTGCTGCTTGGCTGGCTCCTGTTCCCAGGGTTTATCCATTATGTAATGCATGCATGTTTAGTATAACACAATTATCTCTAAATTGGTGTTGAATGGCAGCTTTGAAAGCACCCAAGGGTGAAACTAGTAAATAGTTGTTGATAGCTCTTTGTTCTAGCTTTCAGTGTTTGAATCATTGCATCACATGTCAGAAGGTCATCAATGCTCCTCTTAGCAGTTCTCTGTGAGGGTTTCATTTACTGTCTCCATACTGGTGAAACTGGATATGATTTGTTGGTTCATGTGGGATTCACTGTGGAAATATCTTTACCAAGTGAGAGAATATATATTTATTTGCAAAACTATATTTTAATGCTTTTTATGACAGGGAATGAAAACTGTAAGAGCTCTTAGACTGGTTCTGTCATAGAGTTGTTTACAGAGGAGGACGTGCTTTAGCTTCCCAGTTTTATAGTGGTCAGGTGACTTTCTTTGACCTCTGCTTATTTGTTTTTAGATTGCAGTCTTCAGAAGAGGGACAGCTCCTAACTTATCAGGCTGCTGACAAAAATGTATATGCAGAAGCAATAAGGAAGAAACCTTAGTGATGTCAAAATAGTATCCTGAGTTTTCATAGATTTTTTTTTTATCTTTTACAGTGTAAAGGAAATGAAGATGGAGAGACTGTTATTGTTGAAAAAGACCATTTTATGGATGATTTTTTCCAACAGGTGAAGTTTTATGTACCTTTTTGCTACACGTGACTTAACATTTTCTTTGTTTATTAATTTCTGTTGTTTCTGTAAGGTTCTGTCTTAATAAATAGTGAAGGCTCTAGACTGTGATTTCTTGCATGCCACGCAGCACCCTCCTCAGTGTTTTCCTGGGTTCTTTTCCATGGTACATAAAAGTATGAATGTGGATTTTATTGTTTTGAATGCAGAGCTGTTTAAATGTCCACGGAGGGTGGTTGCAGTCTGAAATTTGTCAGATATTTACTACTGTTGTGATTGAATACTTCAAGATTTGAAGTACCAAAGATGTATTACAAAGACCCAACAACTTGACGTGTGATTGTTTTAATGCTTTCATTGACGTATTTCTCTTCTTCTAGGTTGAGGAAATTAGAAATAACATAGCAAAAATAGCACAAAATGTGGAAGAAGTGAAAAAACAGCACAGCATTATCTTGTCAGCCCCAAATCCTGAAGGGAGTGAGTATCACTTGTTCTAGATTTCAAGGATGTGTGACTGGATAGCTGAAATAAACAAATTTGATTTCAATCTGTCAGAGTAGAACTCAGCAGTTGTTCTCAGCACTTCATAGTCCAAGGCATGCCTGTGCTTTAGGCAGGTTTTAGTGAACTGGGAAGAAAAGATGCAGAGGTATTTCTGTGGAGTAATTTTTTGTGGACCTGATTCTTATGTTATTGTTGAAACTGAACTTGTGTTTTTAATTTTTTTTTCTCCATATCTTCCTTATTTGTGGATGGATGTGTGTGTATTCTTCTGAGTGATTTCTGCTGATTGCTTTTTTTTGCTTTAAGTCATAGAATCAATGATCGTCTGGTTAATGAAGCATTCATCTGAATCCTTAAAATCCATGGTCCTTGCTAACTCATCTGATAGAGCACAATTTTAAGCACAAATGCAATAATGCATCTGTACTGTGTAGGAACATGACATTGCTTGTAATGACATTGCTAGTCATAGGCAGTGTCTAAAGATTACTTGAATGTCTTTTGAGAAGTAAGCTTTCTGATATGTTATCAATAATCAATAGTTCTGGACTTCTTTTTTTAAGGAACTAAGGAGGAACTTGAAGAATTAAATGAGGAAATAAAGAAGATTGCTAATAAAATTCGAGCTAGGTTAAAAGGTAAGTCGTGGGGAGAAGTAAAATTGTCATCACCTGTAACATACGCAGGATGCTAGCAGTAGCAGTGTTACAGATGTAATGCATTGCAGCTGAATTTATAACCTTTAACTCTGTTCTGTATCTGTATGTTATACTGTCCAGCTCTTGTCAGCTGGTCCCCAAATCTTAAAAAAAAAAAAAAAAAAAAAAAGTAAGAAAATAATTAACTGTTTTAATCATTGAGCCCTGAATATAACATTTCAGCTTTTTGTGTGTGTTGATACAGATTTGGGTCTTGCATGGTTTTGAGTTCCATAACTCAACATATTTAATTACTGTTGGTATTGGAGGAGAGAATTGCAATGAACCATGATAAGGACTTCTGTCTCCATACATTTTATGTGCTGCTTTTTTTTTTTTGATTGCATACCATCAGAACCTTACTCTGTCTCTCTTGTTGTTGTGCTTTCTCCTCATTGCTTAACGTCTTCCTCCATGATGTCAACATTATACTGGAACCCTGATAATGTGTTTTTGCAATACCTGTATTCTCTTATTATTTAACCTTCTGAAAATAAAAGAACTTCCCCATTCTTGCCAACTGATGTGCAGCGTATGTCACTTACATTATTCTCTACTTCATCCTTCCTTAACACACTTCATAGCTGATAAATACCAGGTCTCAGCACAGCCTGCCTGCTCAGGGCAAAGAGCTGGTTTGCAGAAATAACCTAGAAAGTACAAAGTAATTTCTCTGTGTAGAAATTTATTTTGTGACTGAAATGTTGTTCTGGGAGAAGATCAGCTGCGAAGAGGCAGTCTGTGTGACAAATAAGAAACTGCTCTATAGCATCTGTTGTGTTTTAAATTTCTTTAGGCCAAGTAATTTAATTGTGAGTTTCCCCATAGGTGTTCCTTTACCTCTTCAGTATAAGTTTTGAAGTATATTGATTCTTTGAATATCACTAGATTGCAATTACTGTATACTTTTGTTCTCTAAACAATTAGATATGGTGTTTATCACTTAAAATGTAAAGGCAACCTATTTTGTTAGATTTTTTTGAGCTGTCCCCAGAGTAAGCAGATATAAGTGTGACTCTACAAAAGGTATTGATGTAGTTACTGTTTTAAAAAAATAAGTTATTTAAAATAGATATAAATTTCACTTCCCTTCCCCCTCCACCACCACCACACGCATACAGAAAATGTGCATGCAAGAAAAGTTAAGCATGTTCATGTGATGCTTGTGTATGAAAAAAGTAAAGATGTATAGTGTTCACAAACAACTTTGAGCTGCACTGTCGAATTTACGCTATCTCATGTACTGTATTTGCTCTGTTGATTCACACTATTTTTGTATTTACTCTTAGCTATTGAACAAAGCTTTGATCAGGGTGAAAATGCGAATCGAACATCAGTGGATCTCAGAATAAGAAAAACTCAGGTATGATAACATAACAAATTTAAAGAAAATGAAAGGATGTTACTTAATCAGAGAATAAGTTTCACTTTCCTGCTTCAGAACTCCACGTTCTGTTTGATTGAAATTTCAATACCACTTTGATTGTTGTACAGTCATATTTGCTCTATTAAGAAAGAAAATAAATCTTTTTGCACATTTTTAAATCCTGAAAAAAACAGCACTCTGTATTAGCTCACAAGTTTGTGGAGGTCATGACGGAATACAACGAGACCCAAACTCTTTTTCGAGAGCGCAGCAAAGGTCGGATACAGAGGCAATTAGAGATAAGTAAGTGACCTCAATATGCTTTTTTTAAGATAAAATAAAAATAAATATTGTATTGTTATACCTCCCTTTTTTTTATTACTTAAAGGTGGTACTGAAGACCATGCACCTTGGCTTCTTGAAGCATGTGAAAGGGAGAGGAAAAGAAACATTTCTATTACAGAATATTAAATAAAAATCCTTTATTTCTTAAATTTTCAGTCTTGTAAAGGAAACATTTAGGTTGCATGCAAAAGCTGTGTTTTCAAGACAATGAATGATTCTATAGTGACTGTTATGAAAAGCCATTCAAAAACATGATAATCAGGAAGTCATCCATTTTCATGTTGTGCTGTTTGTGTCAGTAAGAATCTGTTTTGTTTGTTTTTTGAAAATTCATCTGCAGTAAAATCAGTACTACTGTTAGACATACTGTAATCATCTGTTGAACGATTCACCCTCTTATTTCATTAATGCTAATTGTTGATTCCTAAGGGCCCTTAACTTTGACCTACAGCATCTATTTCAGAACATATCCAAAACACCCATAACTTCTTGTAGCTGAAGTTAAACTTGTGAATGTTTCCCGTAAAGGCAAATATATCTTTAATAAAAAATGAAAACAGAAAAGTTAGCAAATTGTAAGATTTCACTTAACATCTGCTTCTTCTTTCTTTTTCATTAGACTTGCATACTGAGTATGATTTAATTCAGCATTTCAGTGTAATTTATTTGGCAAGTTAAATTCTTTGCTCATGTTTCTGAGGGAAGGGACCCTAGTATCTCAGCATGCAGTTCTTTTAGGTTAATGTCATAATGAACTAATTTGCTCCTTTTCCTTTTCTTCAGCCCTAAAAATTTTAAGGGAGGATTTGTAGCATTCTTGGGTATTAATGTAATTAACACTGAAACTGTAATTTTCATCTGTTAAGATAGAGTTAAATAAATTAATACAAATCCTTAATCTTCCTATGTAAAATAAGTTGAATATACTGTGTACAATAGAAATAACTTGAATATGCAGTGTAACTCAAGACACTTGCATTCATCTTACCACTGCAATGGCTAACATGCAGTAGAGAACAACATAAGTTGTTAGGTGAACTATGAAAACTAAAAATGAGGGTAGTCTATAGGTGGTAATCTTCTCTACATGGGATTTGAATGTAACCTTGTGTTAGCTGCTAGAGTCTGCTTTCTGTGAAGATTCTATCCCTTGCCACAGTGGCTGGTGGGAGGAAGGGAGCAAATCAGGTGTCAGTGCAACTTGGTTGCGTAGGTAAATACTGAATCTTATGTAAATACATACAAGTTCTTCCTTGTGCAGAACACCCAGCTGGATTCAAATGTGTGTTGTAAACGTTTCTGATCAAATTCTTCAATTTGACCAAAAAAATCATCAGGAATTCTTCACCCTAGTTTTGAATCTGTCACATTTATCTGGCTACTACTTGATATTTTCTGTTTTTTAAATGCAAGCTAGTATGTAGGTCACTGCATGAAGTAATACCTCTCATTTATTTCTGTGGAAATTACAACAGATACAAAGAGTATAACACTGCTATATGATAGTGCTTTGTAGCTGAGAATTTGCTCTATTTTTTAGCATAGTTACCACTATTAGCTGTGCATTTTTTTGCCTGCTTTGAACAGGAACCTGAATGTAGCTATTGTAAATATCTGCTCTAGTGGAGGTAACCCACTGTTGCCACTGCTGAAACTCACCATACACTGCCTCTCTGTTCAGTAAGCATCCATGAATGTCAGTGTGTGCAGTTTTCTGCACGAATGAATTCAGCGACACACCTTTGCTCCATATGCACTTCCCTGTCAGATGCCTTTTGTCAGGCTGTCCCTCTGCTGCCATTTGTCACATGGCAACAAGGCATGAAGGAATGTTGACAGAAAGGTTCAGCCTCTCCTGCCATTCCACCAACATCTGCCTCTGACATCATGGGTCAATATAATAAACAGGAAGCATTACTTTTGGATCGGCCCTGATACCCAGTAATGGCTAAGTATTGCTTTTTTTATCTTGAAAAATTGCAATACAAGAATTTTCTCTTATTGTTATCCTTCTGCAAAATTTTATTCATTATTATGTGATGTTATATGAAGTACTGTTATGTTTATTCTAGCTGGAAAAACCACCACTGATGAGGAACTGGAGGAAATGTTAGAGAGTGGTAATCCTTCAATTTTCACTTCTGACGTATGTATTTCTGGTCCAGTCACGTCAATAATCTGTTCTGTTTGTTCTGCTATTTAGAAGTGTGTCTCAATGCTTAAGTACTTATGTCCGTATCTTTTGTTCTACCAAAGATTATATCAGACTCCCAAATAACTAGGCAAGCTCTGAATGAAATTGAGTCACGGCACAAGGACATTATGAAACTGGAGTCCAGCATACGGGAACTGCATGAAATGTTTATGGATATGGCTATGTTTGTTGAGACTCAGGTAAATGAACCAATTAAAATACATTTACTGAAGTTAGGTTTTTTTTGTCTTCGTCTTTAGAAATATGTGGAAGTAATGCAGATCTGTTTCTTAGTGTTTTTGGGCCACAGTTAGAATATATGAAAGTTCATCACTAAAATTTGTTTTGTTTTGAACAAATGTACAGTTGAGATGTACTGACAGTATGTGTTTTGAATAACTAAGCCTAGAATTTCTTTGCAGTTAGGATCCTAAGTATACTTTCTTCTGCTACATACTTGTATTTCAATACACGCTGGAACCTTCTATGTGTGTTTAAGAACAACTCTGTCCTGGAATACTGGCTATTGTTGTGGAAGTCCAGGATTCTCACTGATATGGTGATTTGTAAGAATTAAACATAGCAAGGACTTTTTGCAACTTGCGTATAATACAAAGGCATGGTTGTTACAATAAGCACAAACATAAAGGGATCAGTTGAAAAGTAATTCAGTTTGTCTCTCATTCATGTTTTTTAACTTGAAGTATGTGTAAACTTGTTATATTTGCAGTCTTTGTATACATATTAGCTAACTATAGTATTTTGATCTTCCATTCTTAGAGGTTTTTTATTTCTGCTGGGAAGTGAGAGGAATAATGTTGAGGAGAGAAACTTTCCTGAAGAGGACCTTTTTCTAAATTGAGTTTTGTTCTTTTTAAGTCCTGTGTTGCTTTAATGTTAAATATATAGGCAGGGAAAACTGGTAGTTTCCTAGTGAACTAGAACTAAACAAAAATTAAAAAAAATTGCTTGTGCATCATTCTTTAATGCTTTGCTGTTTAATGCTGCTGAGTTTTTCTTCTGATGGACAGAAATGCAGGTAATAGACTTACTGTTACTTTTCACCAATCCTCCATTTCATTTCCAAATTTCATTCATCATAATTAATTTGAATTTATGTATTGACATTATATATGCTCAACTTTGTATTTTGCTTCCTGAAGTTACCACTGTATGTGTGGGATTGCTTTTTTTTTTTTCTTTAAGATAACCATTAGACTTTGTATCAAAATAGTCAATATCTCTGCCCACTTCAAAGCACATCAGGGATGTGTGACCTTTTGGTATGTCAGTTTTAGACTGAACATCTGAAAACATATCTTTGAATGCAAGGTGTGTTTTACCAGTCAATGGTGCATTCCTTCAAAACTGAAATATACCTCCCCTGCCCATTTTGGTTAGATCTTTAAGCCCTTGCTTCTCATTCCCTTTTTTTCATTGCATATCAAAGCACAAAGTCTGCCACTAATGTAAAATATTTTGATTAAAATGATGTTGTTATCCTGTAGCCTTTTTTCTCAGATTCATGGAACAGGGATCCCCAGATGCCAGTAATAAACTTTTTGTTCAACGTTTAATTTTAAGGGTGAAATGATCAACAACATAGAAAAGAACGTGATGAATGCAACAGATTATGTGGAACATGCTAAAGAAGAGACAAAGAAGGCAGTTAAATATCAAAGTAAAGCACGAAGGGTATGTGGTTTTCTTGTAATTGTCCTAGTCAGCAAGTTAACATTGTGTGCTGTTAAGCAGCCTTCAATTTTAGTTGAACTTTTTTTGACTTATTCAGGTAGAATTAATAGATGTACTTACCCTATTTTAAAGATTTGGTATTTAAAATTAGAGAGAAAACATTGGGTTATAGGGCTTTTGTTATAAATCAGTATATGGCAGAGGAAGATTTACCAAAGGATTTCACCACTATAACGAAAGCAGTGTGTTGAATTTGTTTGATAGCTTTAATACTAAAACTTGGTGTTATTAGCAGAGAAAGGAATCTCCTTTTATTTTTATGCCTGTTCTGTTAACTATAGTTAAACTCCAGAGGAACCCACTTACATACTTGTGAGCTGTGTTTTTTTTTTCTTTTTGATCACTACATCAGTGTTAATCACAGTAACTTACCTGTAAACACTGTTTAAAAATGTATTTTTTTCTTATACCAGAAGAATTGGATAAAATTTTCTCTAAGCAAGAATGTTGCAAGCTTTAAAAATGAATGGGGATCTGGGAACTGACTTTTAAAAATTGAAAATAAATACAAGTTTTAATGTGCCTGATATTAAAATAATACTTTGTTTTTGACAGAAAATGTGGATTATTATCATTGTGTCATTGGTGTTGATTGTTGTAATTGGTCTAATTATTGGTTTGTCTGTTGGTATTCGGTGATACTTGGATAACTTCAGCATGCATGACTTCCTGCCAGCGTGGCAGTAAGTAACTAATCAACTAATTTTGCTCTTATTTTGTTCTGGTAACTTCTTTGTACTAACTCTTAATATGCTTTCAGTTACCTCTGGAGAGGGAGGCAAATTTGACATTAACTGGTGACTCCTTCTCACCCTCTGCATGCTATAAAAGTTCCATGCATGCTGAAAACTGACATCTAGTGGTGAATTGTTAAATTTACAGATTGCAGTCATACTCCTGATGATCTGTAAACACAAAACGAAATGAGGAGGGGAAAAAAACCCCACAACTTATTGTCTCAATTCTTTGAATTTCTAATATATTTCAAGTTCACATCAACAAACAGACTACATTAAGATACAGGTTACAATTGGAACTTTGTCAGATGTGATCTTCTGGTTTTAAACAGAGCTTGCATTGAAGTAGGTGATTGCAGGCCATAAAGCTGGCTATTTTGTGTTGTAGAGCATCCTAAAATGAAGCTCTTGTATTAATAGTAGTCCATATGAAACCAGATGACAATGTATTTGTAAGAGAAAATCTGCAGAGATTCAAACCTGAATTTGAGGATGCAAGTGTGAGAATTCTTTCAGTATTAATACTTCTGCTATACTAATCTACTTCTTATCATAATAACATCTAGCCAGGCTAAGGAGATGGTAGTAATTAACTCAGAAGAGTCCAGCAGAAACTCAACTTTCTATCTCTGGGGTCTTCAAAATATTTATGAAGGACCATGAGGGAGTATGTTCATTTCAGACAGCTAGTCAGGAATTCTGCTGTTTCTACTAACACCATTTTGGTATGCATGTTTTTTAGTTCTGACACTAGATTGGAGTTTTTTCTCACCTTTGGTTTATGTGCAGATAACAGGCTTTACTGTATTGTTACTGGTAGAACTACGTGACATAACATCACACCTCTATGTATATTCATAGAACCTTTTGATTATTGTGCAGCTCTTCTGAGCTTTTAACTATACAGTATTCTTAGTGATGTTTTGTTCAATTTCCCTGAGTGCAATTGCAAAAGTTTGAACAGGCTACAAATATTTATCCAAGGACGGCAGCTCTAGGCAGTGTTACTATATTTGACTTGACTTTGATAAGTAGATGTTTGTTGTTGTGGTTGTTTTTATATGTAATACTTAAAGAAGTTGCATATGGGTAATAATTATTCTCAAAATAAAAGTACAGAATTCTTACACACCTTAGTTACTAATTGTGGTTATGTATGTTAGAGAAGAATGACTAACAACAGGAAATCATGGCAGTAAGTTTCATTCAAAAAGAAAATCCAAGCACTTGAAATAGATACCAGTGTTATTAGTTTGCTGTGGGTATACACGTATTTAAGTAGTTTTGTATCTGTCTGGATGCTTCAATCTAAACTTCTCTTTTTTTTTTTTTCCAGAAATTGATATTCATAATTATATGTGTAACTGTACTACTTCTGATACTTGGAGTTGTCCTAGCAACAACACTATCATAGCAAGCGTATTCTAAAAGATGCACATTTTCAGAAGCTCCAAAAGATATCTTCAGTAAAACCAAACCTTTTTTGATAGAAGATGCCTTACACAGATATGTGATGATGACCTATCATTAATGGCTAAAATGAAAACAGTCACACTTAATGTTTACTTATAAATGAAGATTGGAATGTACCAGGTTATGTATATTTTTATCATAAACTATACATTTACAGTAAGACTGAAACTTGCTTTTAATTGTTTTGAACTAAAGCAACTTGGATGCTTTCATATTTCAGTGTTACAAACAGTTTAAATAGGGAGTTAAGATACTTGAGTTTTGACTGTTTGGATTTTTTTATTCCTATCGCTACTATAATTCTAATCACAATTTTTATAACCTTCCCTGTGCTGCTTCTAAGTTAGTACTTCTGTGAACATATTTTTAACTGTAGCTATGCCTTTAAATGTATTTATTCACCTTAACCTTAAGCTTAATACTTAAAAGTTATTTCCAGCAAGTGAGAAAATATTTTATCCTGAAAAAGCCACTTAGATATTTACTGGTCTGCCTCCTACATTACACTTTGAGAAGCAAAGATTTTTCTTAAAAAACTTAGCAGTTTTTTTTTCTATATGACAATGGCTTATTGCTTTAAATATTTCCTTGTCTTTATATTAGAAATTTTTTTTTCTGGTAGAAGTAATACAGAAACAAAGCACACAATTTGATCTTCATCAGGTAATTTTACAAATCATTTTTGTACAAAATAACAGTTCAGCCTTATTGCTTGCAGGGATGATAGAAATCATACTTGCTTCAATAAAGCCAAGTCAAGATTTGATTTTCAGAAGCTTGCTAATGTTGTGGTGTGAATAGAGCACACGGGAAGAATAAACACTCAGAAAACTTAAAAATGTAATATAGACTAAGACACTGATTTGTTACAAAATGTACTATATAACATATATGAAGTGTTTTAGTATATATGCATCTGTGTTGTAATACTAGCTTGCAAGACTTGAAAGCTTGAAAGACTTCATATGTAACCAAATAACTGCATTTAATGTTAAAGGTTATTTTTGTATTTTGTGTGTAAAATATTTGTAACTTGAATTTTTGATTTCTCATTGTTTAGGATATCCATGTAGATATGTAGATATATTTACACTGTAAGAGAAATAGAGGAAATTATAACGTGTGACTTTTTAAACACGATTTAAAACAGTGCTTGTCAATGTTTCCAAATATTAAACTATAACATTATTTGCAATAACTCAGATTAGAATCCTTGAACTTACGTTTTATGAGAAGTGTCTGAGATCAGTTATTCACTAAAATGTAATTCAGTCTTTTTTTACTTTGTAAAATTCAACCAAGTTTACAATATATTATATATGTATGGATATTCCTGCTTTGTCTGATTATACTGTGAATATGCTGGAGCTATTCAGATGTCAAACATTAAAAACTTTAAAAATTCTTTTTTGCAAGCCAGCCATAAAGAAGTTGCTTGAAGAAATTAACTTCATTAATGAACAATTTTTTTTTACTTTGACATCCAGAACACTCACCAACGGCTGTGGGGAAGTTTACATGCAAAGTAAGGAAAGATTGGTTGCATGTTTAATCATTCTAGGTAATATATTTTCTATTCTATGGTTTTCTAGATTTTTAAAAATATTAATTATTTATACAAAGTATACTGGGGAGGGGGATCAGTTCCGTTCAACAGCTGGTTATCTAAAATAGTGCCCCAAATCCAGTCATGTTGATTCTTTTCTTTTTTTTTTTAATTAATAATGCAGTACTTTGCCCTCTAAGAACAGAAATTAGAATGTACCACTCCACGCCTTTTTCTTTTGTTATATAGCTGCCTCTGTTTTAAAACAAAACTTGTTTTTCACATAAACCTCTTTGTTCTGTTAATATTGTGGAGAATTATCTCTAACCCATGCACGAATAAATTTATCTAAGCAAGTATCTTGTGGCTATTTTTATATTCATGATGTTATTGTGACCTTTGTGAATATTTCCAGTAAGTGTTTGAATAAGGCTGGTGTGCTTTTGCATACCAGCACACATGTCAAACAACTGCTGTGTCTTATTTATTTACAGTATTCTCATGTAGCTTGATTAAATATTAAACCTGAAAAATAGAGTAATCGTATCTGGATAAAGGTACTCATGTATTTTCAAAAAGATCCTTATAAAAGTGCATCTTTATGGTACTGAATTGAAATGATGACCTTGCTTGCCTGCCCTAGCTTCTCAGTTCCTAGATCATTGGAATAGCTTCAGAGTTGGTGTACGAGTGTACTGGTTATCCACCAGTGTCTTTTCAGTCACGGTTTGAAACTATGCTTGTCAGTGTTTCCAAATATTTAAAATTTAGATTGCGGATTACCACTGTAATAGCTTTTTGCTGACAAGGCATTGAATGGTGTTATCTGAGAGGTGATGGTATAACCTATTCTTTCTCCTCCAGCTGTGTGCAGTACTACTACCTCTCACCTGCCTGCTTGTCTCCAGCAGCAGTGGTGAGCAGGAACAAGCAGTCTTGGAGCTGACAGCTGCAGCCCCATGGCGTGGGAGGAACAGCTGCCACCTGCACTGGGGCTCCTCTTCTGGTGCCTTTTCTCCTCGTACTTGCATGTGTCACATACTGAGGTGGGAACCTTTCCATGGTCAGGGCCATAACAAAGGCAATACAATCCTCAGTGTAATATTCTTTGAGAGGAAAGAGTGGTTGTGCTCTTTTTGTGGCTTGGGAGCTTTTTCAGAAAATTTTTAAGAAAATGAAGCCATAGGCACGCTAATTTAATTTGATTCAATGCAATCTTCACATAGAGGTAAATTTTCTTAGCTGCTTTAGCAATCTAACACCAGTGGAGATATGCACTGGGAGTAAATACCAAAGCAGTCAGACATTGGGAATTGATGGATTTGTCTGACTGTAAGATAATTGAGCAGTTATATTTGACTTAGGGGAAAAAAAGCCACAAATAGAGAAGGAAACAGTCAGCTGAGCTTAGTGTAGGTCGTAAGAGAAAGCCTTCAGTGTTTTTTTCTTACTTCAAAGACTTACGTTACCTAATATTAAATTGATTTGATAGATTCATGTGGCTTGATAAGTGACTACAAATAACCAGGCATGCTTCTGATTACAGTCAGTGGGTCAGCCTTTGCACCTGTGAATCAGCTCAGTCTTTTCTGTCACGTACAGTAGCTGTCTCAGTTGCATAGTGTCACTATTTTAGTTACCTCTGTCAAACATGCAAAGTCCTTCCACATGCACAGTGGTTGTGCAGCATTTACAAATCAGCTTTTTGGAATAAAAAGACCATTTTATAGGCACTTATAACTAGGTTTTGATGAACAAAAGTACTTCTCAAAGATTTTTTTTTTACCAAGGGAAACATAGAAATGGTAAGTACTTACAACATAATTGTTTGCATATTCTAAAGAATGTTTTGATTGCATTTCTTGGCTGCTTTTGAATCCAATTTTTTTCTTTCATTTCTGTAAGTAGGGGAGGGAAGGAGGATTTTGATGTTCATTAGTAAATAGTTCTTAGAAATTGCTAAGTTATGATATGAGTAACTAACAATATGTAGCAGACTGTGGACTGGGAAGAAAGCAAGAGTTATGCATAAGAAAACAAACTCAATTTACAATATACAACCTTCAGAGAGAACATGAGAGTATATTGGCTCAGCCCATGCTGGCTCCAGTCAACTCCAGTAAACTGAGCTGGACCACTTTAAACTAACAGAGGGCAGCTCAATTTAAAGAATATGTCAGAATGAAGATGGATCAGTAGAGGTGCCATTAATATAACAGCTCATTTTACAGTCCTCACATGTAATTTCACAGGCAGCTTCAATGCATATTTGTTAAGGTAACTTAGTCTTACTGTACAGAGCTCTTGACTTTAGTATTTTGATTTTGCTACTGTGTAATCTGCATTGATGTTTTTAACATTGAGTATGTTTGTTATGGAAATTATATTTAAAAGTCCTGAAATAATCTGTGGAGGCTGGTAAATGACAAAATATACGAGCACTAGTGTATATAATATTGGTGGCTTGTTCTTGTTCAGGCCTTTCCTGAAACGTGAGATGAACCTCTGATGAATATGCTTATATCACTGAACTGGAGAATAACTCAAGTTAGAAACCTCTGGAGTTTCTTTAGAGCCCATCTAGCACAACCTCTTGCGGAAAGCAGTGCTGTCTGTCAGGTCAGAATAGATTCTTTTGTTGTTCTCTATCCCTGGAAGAAACACCTTTTGGTGACTTTGTTTTCTTAGAAGAAGTCCACTAAACAAAGCTATTTTACTAGTCTAGAATCTAGTAAAATTGAGTAATTGAGGACAGAATTGACCAAGAGAAGAATTTGTTCCTTGGCCTGTTTATGAAACAGGAGTTGTTAACTAGAAAATATAATTGATTATTTTGAAGAGCAAATTGCACATTAAATTAATTAACTTAGGAAGACTTAAGAAGAAGGGAAGAAGAGTGTCTGGCTGTGATATTTTACAACAAACATAACCAGACAGCTTTCTTTCACAAATAAGGAAATGAGTGGGAGGAGTTAGGAGTTGAATTATATTGTTCTAATTGAAATCTGATTATATGTTTAATTTCAAACTACAGTCATCAGAATATACTTTAAATAAATACTTTAAATAAGTATAAGTTAAGTTTACAACACTGATGTCTTAGCATTTGCTACAGAAGTGCAGTAGTATCTTATTAAGTGGTGATAGTTTAATAAAGGAAAACAAGTCAACATTTACCAGCCTGCCGTTGTAATGGACTCTACAGGCTTACTGTTAATCCCCAGATACTCCATCGTGTGGAAAATGCCTATAAATGCTGACCTTGCAGTAACACAGGAGGTAGTACAATGAAGAATGCTTCCTTGGATTTAAGTATTTTGAGTATGCATAATTGAATATATACTGAGTAAGATCCCTTTCCTCTATACTGTTCACTTTTTTTTAATGAGCACTGATTAGGATTTGGAAACTAACATCTGGGAGGCATTTTCATTTCATTCAGCCTTTTTGATGGTGAAAATTTTTTGTTTAGTAGCATGTATTTAATAAAAATCTGAATTTTGCAATAACAGAATATATTTAATGTCTATTACTGCAACCTTTATATAGTTTAGGATTGTATCAGGGCATATATCGTCAGTCTAGTCATGCATATTTATCTAATATTAGCTCTCTAGCCTCTGTAAACTTCATCTCCATTCCCTCTGTAGACTCTATGGTTTTTACTGATCTCCCTTCTCAAAATTTAAGCAATCATCTTCTTGAAAATTAATTCTTATTGCTGATTAATTCTGCTATGTTGTTTTCTGTCTAAAGGATTGACTGATTACTAACTTGCTCCGCAGACATTTTATTCTTGCTACTTTTTTTAATGGACTTCTGGCAGAGGCCTTTTAAAATACTGTGACTCTTAGCAGCAGCCTTCTGCAGTGCAGCACTATTTGGGACCTGATGAGGGAAATATCTGCCATTTCTTCATGGTGTTATTTTAATTACTGGCAACACTCACAGAACGCTGTTGAAAAAGAGATACTTTTCAAATGCAGACTTTCTTAGCTTTTGAACCATCTCACTGCAGGTCTTAAAGTTTCTTCCAATTTCTTCTCTTGATCTTCTGCTTTCCTTCTGTTGATGCCATTGCTTTTAGAGTCACTGTCTATTCTAATAGTGAATCTACGTCATGGTATCTGTAGTGAAGAAAAGCAATGGTATGCATGCCTAGTAAATAAGGACAATTACTGATGATAGAGACTAATCTTAGTTTTATCCACACAGCTGCCAACCATCTTAAAAGTATAAATATAGCTGATAGGAAACTGATCTAACTGCATCAGAAAGCAAGCTGGGGAGAAGAAACACGTAGATTAAAAAATCAAACGGCTTTTAACCTTCTGAAAAGTTGTGGGGGAAAAAAAAAAAGAAAACATTCTGGTTCTAAGTTCATGCAGATTTAAACATTGCATTTCCAGTTCACATACTTTTGATTTTCCCTTTTGGCAGTTTGTTCACATTAGAGTCAGTGGATGGAATCTCAGAGGAGAATAAAAGCCAGTGTTTTGAAAACTAATGAAGTAATTATCCAAAGCATTATTTACAATGATTACTTAGAAGATAATGAGACCCTTTAATTATGTTTGTTCTGCTTAGCTAGCCTTTCAATAATTCAGAGTACTACTGTTCAATTTCCTTTATATTCACTTTGCACATTTTTATTTGGAAAACTGTCACAGCTGTTTGTTATGTGTGAGCATGGGCCCTCATTCCGGATGTTGTTTGCTGCACAAGAATCACCTGCTCACTTCAGGAGGCTTTTTTAAGTTCAGGCTTCTCTGACTTTTCAGTGTAGTGTGGAACAAAATTGTGGGTGAAACAAAGCTGCGTTGTGGCTTAAAGGTAGCACCACTGTGCAGTAACGAGTGTTAATCCAGTTTCTGCTACTGTTTATCTCTTTACAGGTAAAGTTTGAGTTTACTTTCATTTTGGGAATCATGTTAAATTTGTTTGAAGCATACATTTGTGTGTGTTTGTTTTTAAATAGCCTTGCTCGCTTGTCTATAAAAAATTCAGAACATCATTATTGTTTTAGCAGCTAACAAATATTTCACTAATATACTGATAAGCATCCATGAACTTGCTGCTAAAATAGACAGTTCTGCTTAAGCACATGCTTATATGTTATGGTCCCCAAGGAGATCTATCTTTTGTCACAGGCTTTATCTTAATTTGGTACACCAATGAAGCATAGACTCGCTATGTGCAGTGATGCTACTCCAGATTAGTAGGGCTGATGATGTAGTCCATGATGCTTAGAAATCAATAAGAAAAATGTTAATCTCAGAGAGGCTCCAAAAGCTTGGAGTTTGTTTGCTGGCAGTTAATTCAGACTCAAATCGACTCTTGTTGGAATCTTTCCATCAACTTGGAGAGATGCTGCAAAGGGCAACTGATCTTATACTTACTTCTGATTACTTGATACTTCTGCTTAGGCTGCATATTTTAATTAAGCTGGAATATATTATAAATACAGAAAAACAGAACCGTGGTAGAGTAAGGTAGAAGTTAAAATTTCAAAGAGCATATTAAGCAATATAGTTTTCTGTTTCACTTGGTCACTGTGAAATTCAATTTAAAAACAATGCATTTAAGTAGTGATTACATTCATACTGTGGCTGTTAGCTGTTACTCAAATATAAGAGGCATATATGTCTCAGTGGCTAGTACAAAAAGTACTAGTTTCAAAGGGTCAAAAACACTGTGACTACTCACCTGCAATAAAACTTTTCAGAGGAAAATGGGAGTCTTTTGAGTTCCACTTATTTATCCTGTGTTATTTGGGTTATCTTTGAGAAGTCCAACCAGGAAAAATGGAAAGACACTTCCTTCCAGGAGTGTCAGAATGCCGACCCAGCCTCCCTAAACCTTGGATTAAAGACACACTGTGAGCTGTGAATGTTTTGGAAGGAAGAGAACAAAGGCATCGAGAAAGGAAAGGAGTAATGTTTGAGTAATATGTCTGTTGCCTTGAAGTTGTAACTAGTGAAATGATGCTGTCTGACTTTATTAAGTCAGAAGATCTGTATGCCAATTTAAGCTTCTCTCTAGGGAGTTGAAATACTCTCAAGCCACTTTTCGCCCTCTATTACAGAAGAAAGCTATCAGTCACATTCTGGATCATGGCTATTCTGTACTGGATTCCCCCAAGGCAAATCAATCATTTCCAAAGGCAGCTAAGTCCTTGATTAAAGATCAAGAGGAAGACAAAGTAGTGAGTAACCTTTTCCAATCTAGGATATGTAAGAACTTGTTTGAAAGCTTGCGTGGTGTTTCTTGGTTGTTGTTTTTTTGGTTTTTTGTTTTTTGTTATTGTTATATTATTTGCTTTTTTTGTGGTGTGATAAGTAAATGTCTAAAATAAGCATTTTTTTTAATTTAGACATTGAGTTATGTAAGAGCAATATAAAGCCTTGTTAACAAAAAGCTTTCTGCTACAGATTAGTATGCAAGCTAATTAATTAAAACAAGAACCTAGAACCTACTGCTTGGTTTAGAAAGGGGAGATCAGAAAGCATCATGTTTGTGAGCCATAACATTATAACACTTGCAAACCTCATTTGGCTACAAAGGTGGGCTATTTTGGATATACTGTGCCTGAAATCACACACTCATTCTATGGAAGAAGAGTTGCTCTAGAGCTTGTGAAACTTCTGACAGAAGGCGTGTTCTTAATGTCCCTGGTAAGTCTGAAGTGAGACATAAATCATGTTTAAAGCTTAAACTCCCAGGCCCAGGAGTCTGTCACTACCCTCTCAATCTGTCCCTCTTTCTTTCATCTCTGTGCTATTAATCTCCACAACAAATAATAAGAATTCTAGTTTAGTATGTACTTCTCTCTGACTACTGGGTGTTTGCCGATGGTCACTGCAGAATGGTTTCCACACAATGCCTTGTGGGTCTATATTCAACTGTTACCCAATTTGTATATCCTTGTGACCTTATTATTGTCCCTCATCAATAGATTCTTAGGCATTTTTGTTAAAATAATTGTAGATCCTTTTCACATTCCCCATATTAAAAAGTCTCTTCTTCCTAAGCTGCCTACGAAGTGGCACATCCATTTTTAAATAAATTAATTTGCATGTGTAGAAGAGTACATTTAAGTCTACACCTACAATATAAAGCTTTTTTTAACTTACAGATACTGCTCACAAGACTATTTAAAAAAAAAAAAAAAAAATCCACCTAAAACTTAGTTCAGAACTGTTATAATGACTGTAGCAAGTTCCCAGAAAAGGATTTTGAAGTTAGTAGCATAATGTATGATCTACATTTCTGAAATGGCTGGATAGTTGATAGCCTATGTATGAATTTTGGAGGCTAATTTTAGGTTACAGTAATCTTGCCCCGTGCCTGAGAACTTGATCCCAGATGGTCAGGTCACCCACTGCCAGGACAAGTTGGGAGAATGGCTCTGATACTTTGGGTCTGTGCAGAACATGACAGCTGGGCATGTTTGTGTTCTCTTGATTCTGGAGCTGCTTGTGAGGCTTTTGTTAGTCATTTATACAGTTTTCCACTAGAACATTTGGCTGATTTTCCTTGCGATATGAGGAAAATAAAAAGGTAGAACAAATTAGAAAAAAAAGAAAAAAAAAACAGGTAAAATCACAGGAAGATAAAATTCAGCAAGTGTTGGAATGTACTTTTAATTACAGCTGATATGTGTGGGGTTTTTGTTTGTTTTTTAATCCTAAGAAATAGCGGACATTTTTGTAAACTTCAAGTGAGTTTGAAGAAAATAAAGGCAAAGCCCCATTGCTGCCCTGTAATCCATCTGGATTTACAATCTATATTCAGCAGAGTTGGGTTTAGCTGACAGGTTGGCTCTCTACATTCTTCTTATCTAAGGTTGTTCATTGCTAAACTATATGCAAGCATTTGCTATGAAGAATGACTCACAGACTCGTAGGCCAGGATGCTTTTCTTGCTTTTTCCATTAAGCATTTTTTATATCCTACACAGACATAAAAATAAGCGTTCTTGTTGATTTCCCTATCATCTAGTATTGGGAAAGTAAATCTGAAATTATTTTGATTGCATTAAAATATATATTTTTTGTGATTAAAGAAGAACTGGTCCATTGCCCTCTGTAATCAACTTTTAAATTCTGTGCTTACCTGTTGATGTATATAACACTGCTACTCAATATAGTAACACACAAAAGGAAAACAACTGAGTTGTACAGCATAGTGGTTATTTAAGTAAATAAAAATGTATGTGACGTTCTTTTTTAAATGAATGGTTTATTGCAGTTGAGAGAAAGCCAACAGCTTTGTGAGGAAGCAGGGTTTCGGGAACTTAGTGGTTTGGAAATGGGAGCTTGGATAGGAAAATGGTTTTCATTTTTCTTCCCCTACTCTTGGGAGGTGAAATAAGCTATGGGAAGAGAAAGGGAGAAAGAAGTTGTGAGCAAGGCCAGGAAATAGCAGGTCCGTTTGAGAAAACCTTCATTTTGTTTTTCCTTGTGGCAGCAGTACACAGTGCCAGTGCCAACCCTGCTGCTGTGCAGATTGCTCCCATTAGCACCGGCATTACCTCCCTTCCTCCCTCACCATCGCAACCACAATAAGCTGTGCCAGCTTTGGTCCCAGCCAAGACCTTGTTCAGCTTTATTTCTCTCTGAATCTGTTTTATTATACAGCAGTCTAGTAGAGTAAAAGTATTCATACTTGTCTGCAGTGCCTACATGGATGATGTAAATTGTCTAATTCAGTGTCCAGCAATAACTTTCTGGAAAAGTTTTTCTAAAAAAGTTGTTTAATTCTCATCAAAATGTTTTTATATGCAGTAACTTCCTCTGTATACAGTTCTGTGCTCTCATCTCTCAAATATGTTTCCAATTATTCCATATATTTGCTACCTTTTCTGTTTCTGTGTCTTTTGAAATGATGTTTCCCACTGGCAAAATGTCAGGTAAATGAAAGAGAGTAAGAGAGGAGGGAATGGTGCATTAATTGTTCAAAAAGGACTTCTGGATTCCTCCCAGCTGTCCTGGGCTGTAACTAGCAGAAATCATCAAAGCTAAAACTGTGACAGATGGTTTGTATTTGTAGTATGAGTGGTTCTAATGACCGCCTTTGCTTCACAATGAGTGACTGCAGAGCAGCTACTAGAAGGCTTCTTTTCAATCTCAAGCAGCTAACTGCTTTATTAGAAACAATTCACTTTTTCTTTATATTTGGTTTGTTTTGCTGCTTTTTCCTCCTGCTGTTTTTTGGCAGAAGTTAGAGCATTTTGAGAGCTGGCTAGAAAAAAACAATTGATTCAAAACTTCCTCTTCTGCAGAGAGCCTCTTGTTTGCTACTGTAAGGTCCAACATTTTCCAAACATGAAATTCATTCCCCCAGTGGTACAAAATGCCAAGTCATGCTGATGAAATAGAGACAACCTGACTCATGGTTAGCAGAGAAAGGGTGACAATATGGGTAGTGGTGTTAAGAGAAACAGATGACTTTAGTTTACTCTTTGGGAGTGGTCAGAGTTATCCTAAATTATTATGTTGTGCAAAATAAAATGCCACCTTCTTCACTGGTGCTCGCAAGACAGCATGCAGTGTGTGAGATAATGGGAACCTCCATTATGAAATTTCCTTTAAACATCCATGAGCAGAGGAAAGAAAGAAGGAATCCTGAACTGCAGTGAACTGCAATATGGTGTGAGGCCATTTCCCTAGCTGCTTGATGTTGGTTGTTTAGGTTTCCCAGGTCTATGATACAAGACTTGCTCATATTGAATGTAGCACACTGTAAAGTTCATGTGATTTCAGCCATATCTTGTAATTTACAAAAGCAATCCACACTAAGCTTTCTAGTACACTTCAAATAACAATGAATAATAATGCATATTTACTCTGTACCCTGTCATTCTGTGTTGGGTAACAGCAGAAAGAACAAAAGGCCCACACTCTTTGTGCTTCTTTATCCCATTTAATTCCAGGGATACAGCAGAAAATGCGCTTCTTTGCTAGAGTAATCTGATGAAGTAATACATCTTACCTTTAAATGCATGCTACTTATAACCCTGCTCTTTCACCCATCTTCTACAGAAACCTGAGCTTCTTCCTAGAATTGACAAACAGACAAAATACCACACAAGGAGCAAAATGCTTCTAATAATATTACTTATAATTTGGTTTGTAATGGTACCTGGTCTCTCACTTCGTAGCATCAGCACTACTGACGCCGTGCTAAGCGCTGCGCAGACCCAGAACTGGTGACTGTGCTCTGCCACAAACGTACTGCAGCCACAGTCAGTGTGTGAAGGGCACATCTAATTTGTTCCATCAGCCTTCTTCAGCTTCAAGGCTGTACTTTGAATCTGGTGCTTTATTATGCAAGAGCAAATTTATGTCATACCAGCCAACTCGCTGAAGTATTTTAGATGTGTTGCAATGTGTTTTAATAAGATATTGACGCGTTACATTCCGCAGTCCAAAAAGGGCAACAAGAAAGCAAAACAGACATCTGAAAAGCTCCCACACTTCAGACCTGAGGACAGAAGCAGAGGGAAAGGGAGCTCAGTAACTCCTAAGAAGAGCAAGGTAAGGAGCTGATACATGTGTCTTTGGTGGCCTCACTGCCAAGTGCTGAAGCAGCTCTCATGGTGTTGGTCAGAATCAGAGGCAAACCAATTTTGCTTCCCTGCTATGAGTATTTTGGTTTTATGGTCTAGCGCAAACTGCTGTGCTGTTTACACAAAGGAAACAGAAGATATTCTCGAGATTCCCTTCCAGCTGGGGCAGTGCCCCATTTACCCCCACAGGAAGGCTTTCCCAGCCATGCTGGTGGTGTCAGTGGTTGGGAGATTCATCCGATGTTCATTCTGCCTCATGTTTTCCATTTGCTAATGGATCAGCTCTCCAGAGCTCTGCGCTTCTCCCTTCAGCAAATACAGAGACGGTAAAATTTCTTTTAATAAATCAATGAACACTTAAGTGTTTGGCATCGCTCGCACTTCTTACTGTACCGTTTACTCAACGGCTTAATGCTTAACAGCTGCAACTTGCCTGTTAAATACTCGTGCAAATTTAACAGGTGTAACACATCACAGTTTAATTCAGTTTTTCTCTGTCTTTGCGCTCACGACAAAACAAACAGTTTCAGAGCGCCGCGTGCAGCGGGGCCGGGCGCCTCGGACACGTGAAGGGCGGCGCCCAGAGCAACGGCTGCGGAGCCGCCAGGTGCACGGGAAGGGCGGGAAGCGGCCGTGATGAGCAAAAAGGGCGGGAAGCGGCCGTGCAGCACCGCGCTGTAGCCCGTTCTTCCTGAAGGGGGAAGTAGAGGAGTTGGGAACCGAGGGGGTGAAGCGGATGAAACGAGAGAGGGACGAGTAGTTGGTCTTGTAATTTATGTCTGTGTTTCTCACCCTCCAGATCTATTTTAAGTGCAGATACTTAGGTTTCTTGTTCCCTAACCTGCTCTGCTTTGCTTTGACAATAACTCCTCAGCGGTGCTCCAGCCTTTGTCCCAGCCGGGTGCCATTGAGGAATGCAGGCACGGCGGTGAGGTCTGGCAGCAGCCACGGTCACCCCGGCACTGCAGCAGGAAGATCTGTGTATAAGTCTCTATAACTTATCGTTTAGGCTGGTTAATGTCGGAGAATCTTATTATTATTATTTTTTTTTCCTTTTTAAATTTAAATACTGCATCACGCTGCTTGTGGAAACATTAACCGTGTGTTTCCTGATGTAGGAGAGCTCACGGGAGGTGTTTGGGCAGGTTTGGGTCAACCCTCGATGCTGCTGGGCTGATCCAGAGTTCGTGGGTTTATGTTCAGGATGGTATACGTGTAAATAGTATTTAAAAAAAAAATAAATTGTTGACTGGGGGTGCAGCTCAGGAGGGTTCATGTAACGATGTGTGTTTGGCAAAGCTGTGTTCAAAATGCCCACGTGGAGAAAGTAACCCAAAAGCAGCACTTCCCACCCTCTTATTTTTTTTTTTTTCTTCCACATTTCCAATACAGAAAAATAAAAAAAGAAGGCCTGGAGAGATGAATAACACAGCAGCAGAGAGAGCTGTTCTTTGGTAATGCAGCTCTGACAGATCTCAGCAAGAGAAAAACTGGCAAAATGTTTGTAAGGAAAATAAGAAAGCACTGCATAGACTGTGGGGTTTACATATCACAGAACAGAGAACTGAGGATTTAGCTGTTTTCTCTGGAATTAGGTGTGAACAACAAGACCAAAATGTAAGTGAGGTGATAATGGAAGGGTTTTTTAACACTGCTGTAACTGAAGCCCTACACGGCTTTAGATTGTGAGGTCAGTTTTCAACGTTAATGTTCATAGCAGTGTATGACACAAATTGGGGTAAGTTATTATTTCCACATTAAAGCTACACCAAGCTCGACTTAAATGTAGACTGCATTGAGAAATCAGCAATTTGTTCAAATGATGCAGTGGTTGTAAGTGTCAGGATGAGAGTGGGATGGATATGCTTATAAGCATGTCATAACATGCTAGCATTTTTTGACTTCTGGCTTAGACTGAGCTTAACTATAAAATGAAGGAGCTTTAAATGTGGCTGCTGTTGTATGCCAGTTGACAAGTGCATAGAACTAGTTGCAGGTCACTACATTTTTGCAAAGATTTACCCTGATAAAAGGTTTTGAGAAGGATAGCTATATGTTACAAAAAAAAAAAAAAAAGGCATCTGAGTAGCTGATGGGCACACCAAGGCAGTCTCATTTCCTGCATATTGCCTAACAGGTGGTTCCCACTGAAGGGTTTGCAGCATGTTTGAATGTGCCTTTGGAATACAGCATCTCAGTCATATTTGGAACACAGCTTCTAAGTGAGGCACGTGTCCAAGGCATCTGCAAGCATAACTCAATTTGTTATGTGATAAAACACTAAGTAAGCAACCAGAAATGGTGGCTAAACAGCAGTATTGTGTTGCTATCAAAGTGGTAAATACACTGATATCTGTATAATCAAAGTGGTTGTAGCTTGCTGGCATTCACTGAATGAAAAAAAAATGCATGAAAGATTTTTTCTGTTTTTCACTTTGAGTTATTCCTCCTTTTCCTGTGATTGACTGAGATTGTTTCTTGCTCATTGACTGTAGCAGTGAAAGATCTTAAAAAGAGAATTTTCAAATAATGCACTTATGATTTCTGAAAAATTTGAATTACTCTCTTCCCCCAGACACAGTTTTAGCAAAAATGACATTAAAAATGTATTTTCTCTTTATTAGGGTGTCAGCCCTTCAACTCCTTTGATGTTGCCATCCAATAACTCTGCTGTCATCACAAAAACTATTACCAGAACATTTCCTTTAAAGCAGAAAAGGCACTTAGTCAATGTTAAGGCCCATCATCTGCAAAATATCAACAAGCAATCAAAAAGTACAAAAGATCTGGAGATCCAAATGCTGCAGCTGGAGTGCGAAGAACTCAAAAATCGACTACGATGCTTAAGGGTAGGTTAAAATCCAGTTCTGTTCTTAATACATAACTATGCCAGTAAACAGTTAAATCAGGTCAGAGAATGGTTATGGTTGAAAGAGACTCTGGACATCATCTGGTCCCATTCTCCTGCTCAGGCAGAACTCCTTAGAGCAGGGAGCCCATATGAAGGCAGCTTTTGAAGATTTCCAAGGACGGAGATCCCTCAACCTTCTGGGCAACCTGTGCCGGTGCTCCATTATCCACAGATTGAAGAACTGTCCTGATATTTAGACAATGTGTGTGTTCCTGTTTGTATCTATTGCTTCTTCTGGCTCTGGCACCACTGACAAAAGCCTGGCTCTGTCATCATTGCATCCTCCCCCCAAATATATATTGATGAGATCCCCTGGGCCTCTACTTCTCCAGGCTGAACAATCCTAGCTCTCTTAGCCTTTCCTCTTAGGAGATGTGCTCCAGTCCCTCTGTAATTTTGATGGCCCAACGTTTGACTCTTCTGAGTATATCCATGTCTATCTTGTACTGGGGGGCACAGAACTAGACAGAGTACTCCATGTGCAGCCTCACCAGTGCTGGGTGGAGGGGGAAGGATCACTTCCCTTGACGCATCGGCCATACTTTGCCTAATGCCAAGAGCATTGTTAGTCTTCATAGCATCAAGGGTGTTCTGATACTATGTAATTACCAAACTCTTAGTTACTGTATTAGCAGTGAACTCTTCTCAACATTATCTTGTACTCGTTTACATACCATTACGTACCAGCAGCATCTTACAGCCTCCTTTTACAGCAGCACATCATATAAGAGAACTTCATCCAGTTCCAAAACGTTTGAACTGTGCAAGTTGTTTCCTGCCTCAGCCTGAGCTATTACTACCTGTCTTGAGTAGCCAGAGGAGCTTAACTGCTAAGCATGAAGGAGTAGGGCATAGTAGAGGATGTTCTGCTGCTGATGCTATGAAAGAGAAATCCCAATTTTCTGATGGCAGAGGATTATTAAGTTAAGAAAGTCAAATGCATAAACATAAATACATTGCTAGAGCAAATGTTATTGTTCTCCCAGAAATTCAGCTAAGAGAAATTCTGTTACTATCGCCACATATTTGAGAAAATAGAAATTGAAATATTTGTCATTCAGGAAGGCCTGATGGGGCAGAAGCTGAGCAACACAGAAGAGCTACTGAAACAATCTCAGAAAGAACTGTTGTGCCTTCAGAGACAACTATCACTTATCTCCACAGGAAGCCCCATGTGTGTTTTCGCAGCTAACAAGGTGAGATCTGTTAACAACTTTTTCAATTCTAACTCCCATTTTACACAGAAGTAGGAAGGGGAGGATTCATCACAATTTTGTCTGGTTTTATTCTAATGCTATTCTAAAAGTAGTAAGAGAAAGGTAGGCCTCCTGAGATGTATTTTAACTAATTGTTGTATGTAATTTGTAGGGACCAGAAATAACATCTCTGGAGAGATTGCATTTGGTTTGTGAAAATGTATGCACTCTTGGTATTAAAATGGCACTTCCTAGACTCTTACTGCATACAGAAAGATGTTTGACATCTTTCTGTATATCAGCAGGTACGATCATTTTATCAGGATTGTTATTCTGGGGAGATTTCTTGGCATGACTTACAGAACTGTAATTCTGTCTCCTCTCAGCAGCGCCATTAATGTGCATTCCTATTTACCAGCAGCCCCTCATCAGCATAGCTGCATCCAGCCCTGAACAAGCAAAAATGAATGTCAAGCCACATCAGATTTGATGCTGATGTTTGGCAATATAAATTACTGAATAAATATTAAACTGTTTATGTTAACAATGACTTAACCTCTTCTAGTTTTGCTAAAATGTGAGTCCTCATCTGCCACACTTCAATAGGTTGAATATTTCAAGTTTGAAGACTTAGATTTCTAAACAGTTGCCTGTGGTAAAGCATCTATTTTAAATTCCTCATACCAGTACATCTTTGCTAATGGTTTAAAAGACTAGGTGCTATGTTATTTTTGAGTTATTTAATTTACTTCTATTTTCCATATTTTTGAACATGAGGTTTTCAGAAAGTTTATGGTAATGTATATGTTTTATACATGTACCTCCATACACCCATGTCCAGAGTATACATGCTTTACACCTACCTTTGAGAAGGAATAACAAGAGTTGGTTTTGTTCAGTGTCCTGTATTATGTGATTTTACAGTAATATGACTTATTTTCAGGTACCTGGCATAGGCATTTTTTCTTTTGCCTGTACAAATGCATGTGAAGCGATAGAAATGTTCATTTAGTCTCTAGCTTAAGCAAGACAGATTTCTAAAATGTGTCACCTGGAATCTTCTGCTATTACTTTGTGTCATATGCTGCAGATCTGTATTTGTTGCTGAAGTACAGTATGTGATAAGCGCTGATATAGTCGTACTTGGAAGGAATGTTTGGATTTAAAGCTTGCACACAGCTCAACTGAGGAAAAAAAAAACTAACTTGCCAAAATAAGAGTTGGAAAAATAAACAAACAAACAAAAAAAAACCACCCAAAAAACAATTTATGCCACAGATCAGTATAAAAGTAAGGCTGCGCTTGCCTGATGATCAAAGCCATAATCTAATCTGGGAAGGAACATATGATCCTGAGTAGGAACAGCTTTTCTCTCTGAAAATACCAGAGTTTTGTTTTTTCTGGGTACATGAGTAATCTCTGGGAAGGTCATTTGGGGCCGAGATTGGCACAAAAGAGGAGTGGTCTTGGGTACCTTATTTTTAGAAGTTGGACTTCCCATTCAGAAAACTGCAGTCTTTCTAGAATGTTACAAATAAGACATTTGGAGAAGAAAGCACACCTCAACTGATTTTTATCTGTTTCATTCCTATAATAGGGGACATTTTTTAGAGGAAACTTGTTACTCTGAAGATCACATTCTGATATCCTGCAGTATACTTTAACAGAATTTAATAAAATAGTGCCTTGGGAGCATAATATTTCTTTCCTCTTTTAAATGCAAAAAGGAAAACACATTCTACAAAACTTCATGTTTTCTTGAGAATTTAATCTTTCTGAGCCTTAAGAATTCATTATGTTACAATGAACTCATTCCCACCAGTGGTCAAATTCTGAGTTAGAATAATAATTTAAAAAAAACAGATTGAAGTCAGATGTTTTAAAACACATTTATTTAAAGTATATCCTTAAAGTGCCTCCCTCTTGTTGCTGGGGAGAGGCTGGTGGCACACTAACAAGTTTTTGTGTGAATGTATTGGATACAGTTTTCTTTAGGAGAGAAAAGACAGAATGGTTAGGATGCTCCAGGTAATCTGTCTTAATACCCTTCTGCATTTGAGTTTCTAAGCCTTCCATTGGGCAGGCTTGGCTGTGAAAAAAAATTGCAGCTCACATTTACAGTTCATTGGTTCGTGCCAGTAGGCCACAGATGACCTACTGAGAAGATCCTGTGATAGCATTACTTGGAGGTAAAATAAAATCTCCCAGCACCCGCCTCTCCCTGAGTCCTCCCTCACAGAAACACACCCTTCCCTGATCCCACTTGCTGCTTGTCAGCTCCCGTCTCTGCTCCCTGCTGCTGTGTCAGGGTTAATACTATGTGAAAGAGAAACTGGCAAATAGGGAAAGCCATCTTTGTGTGTGTATGTGTGTGTGAGCACTGCTGTTTCATAGGCTCTGGCAGCTGCTGCATGGCTGATGATGCTTGCTCTCTCTTTTTCACCCTGCCTCCCTGCAGACAACTAATGAATCATTTCTAGCCTGAATACAAGCTGTGCAAACACACCAATGCTGCTGCTGCCGCCGCCGCCGCTGCTGCTGCCTCTCTCTCCAAGGTTGTAATTTGACACAGTAGACTGCAGAGCTTTCTCGGCAATGAATGCTGAACGTCGGAAGCACTTGATTTGAAGGTATGCTGAGATTTCACCTCTTCTAAAAATAGCTATTTCTGCTAAATGCTTTACAGGCTGACTGAGGGTGGGAGAGCTGAAGATTTGTGCGTGTGCGTGCGTGTCAGGGGGAGAATTCTTTTTTTAATTAGCAGTAATGCATCTGTAACTCTTATCAGAAGCAGACAAACTTTATTATTCTGCTGCAATTTGATGATGCCTTTCACTGAATGTTTTCTTGTAGGCGCTGCTTAGAATAATAAAATGTGTTAGTGTCATGCAGTAATACTAGGTAAAGGGATTAAATTCTTGCTAGATTATTTCATCCTCCCTCCTACTGATGTTTAATCTGTTGTCGTTTTCCTGTCATTTTTTATGGTTTCCTATGAAATAAATACTGTATTCACAGGTTTAGTGGTGCCATGTTTCTTTCCTGTTTTGGTGTCTGTGGGCAAAGTTAGTAATCATACTGGCTAGCAGCCTCCCCCTCCCCCGCAACCTGAGCCTCCAAGCATGGTGCATATCAGGGTCTCCTTTTGCTTTGCAGATGTGTATTGTCATGTCATGGCAAAGTCATGAATCTGTTCTGAAGCAGTGCTGTTAATTAAATTACTTGTGATGTTTGTCTGGCATTTAATGCTAAATTAGACCTACTGCAAGTAAATATCTCACTCTTTTTGTTGGAGGGAGAGATCTTCTGCAGCTGCACATATGAACACTCTGTGTATAGCAGTGTTTGTGAGAATTATGTTATGCACATGAATACGTAGAGAAGTACAGCAGCATTTTATTATAGGATATGCAAACAAATGCTAGTTCAAATACTAGTTATTATTAGCATGTGCAGGTAGGCTGTTCTCAGTATCGGAGGGAATACTGCAGTTTTATGTCGGTATTTTTTTAACCTCACAAACTGGCTGTCGCCAATAGGCTTGGACAGGGAAGGTATGCCTTTCCAATAGGGATATGATGATTAACATTACAATTGCATATGGTCTTAATACTGTTTTAACCGAGGGAAATGTAAGCACACGTTGAGGCTTTGGTTTTTCTTTTGTAGCTACTGATGCCTGTTATTTTAGTGGTAAAACACTGACTGGGATTTTTTTCCAGTGCAGACTGCGATACTGATTTTATATATAAAATAGCTCAGTGGAATAACTAATTAATGAGTCTTGTCACTGCATCTAGTAAATACAGAGTCAAGTCCTTAAACAACTGGAAATTTTTAGAAGAAATATATAAAATTAAAGCCATCAATATTAAGAAATTCACTGAGAGTGCAGAGACAGGAAAATTATACCAGGACTGCAATCAACAAAATTTGAATAAGGACTATTAGCAAGGTTGAAAAGCTGCCTTAGGAATATTAAAACAGTATGAAATATTAAAACAGAGATCAGTGATTGAGTTGAAGTTTCCAGAAATTAAATACAATAAAAAATAACAGCATACATGCATGGATATGAAAGTTACTCTAGTCGCTTTTTATTTTACCTTTTTGATCCAGAGGTGTTACATTTTTATTAGAGAAAGGCTTTCAGGTTGACCCAGCAGGCATATGAGGAACAGAGATTCAGATCAAATCTCACAGATGACAGCCAGGATTCATTAGTATGAATGAAATATGAATTATGAAATATACTTGCATTACTTTCAGTACCATAAAGGAGGATGTTGTGTCTTGTTTAGATGACTCTTGGTTCTTTTTCTTAAAGATCCAGTGGTTTTGTACACACTACTTTCTTTTTAAAAGGAAAAGGCCCTACTCCAAATTAAGCCAGGGAAGTGGTCATGCTGCCTGCAGACAAGACAGCAACCTTGATTTTTCATTGCTATATACCTGAACGGTTTCCAGCTTGATAACATACAGCATGACTGTACTTGAAGCAGTGAATGGAGATGCAGTGCTATTACATACAAAGTGATGTGACTGTACTTGGAGCACCTTTTTGAGAAAGGTGTTGAATTTTCTGAAATTGTAAGGAAATTATGGCTTTAAAATCAACCAACTATCTGATACGCATTACTTAACTGACGATTACAAGCTTCAAAATCTAAGCATCTCTCTCTATACGCGGCCAATCTCGTACTGATGCAAGCTTTTAAGTACTTTTCAGCATACGCAGGATATGTATCTCTTTGTATGTCCATTCATTCTATTTAATATATGTGTAAGATGTGAACACTCATAATTTAGATAGGTGTATGACACTGTGTATGAATTGAATGTTTAACCACAGAGATGTTCATTCTGCTGATAGCTTATTACAAAAGTACAGGCCTTTCTGGATTGCTAGGACTAGAAATACGATGCTTACGATTGCTGGGTAATTCGTGTCCTCTGGTATTAAGGACTTTTCCTTTCTGTTAATCGAAATTAAATATCCAAAATCTCACTGGCTTTATTCTGAAATAGAGAACTGGTTTGTCACACATTTCTCTGTCCTGTCCATTCCATATTTACATTGAATGAATTGTGATTTGAGAGTCAAGGCTGTTCTTCATTTAATTGAAATTGTTATAAACCCTCCTCAGTGCTATGAAATATATCAGAGCAACTGAAATATCTGTTAGGTAAGGCTTTTTTCCTTGGACAAATTTATGTTTTAGTATTCAGCAAAAGCAACTGAAGTAGAATTTTATGTAAATCCTTTGTTTGTTTTCCCTTTGACAGCATTAGCTTGTCATGTCCAGTGAATGCTTTGATAAAGTGGCAAATAGGTAGCGCTTCCTTTCTATCATTTTGCCAGTCTTTCCATACATAGATGTAAGTAACTGAACCCTATTAAAATTTTCTGAAAAAATGCCAAGTACCACTGATGATTTTTCATCTGATGCTGATCTTGTAAGCAGTCCACCACAGGTGAGAACTGCCCTGAAGAACTGCTGACAGTAGCATATACTAGTTACTGCTAGAGTTGAAAACTGTGTGCCAGTATCATCATTAAAAATAGAACACAGACACAGTGCTGGAAAATGTTGTCTTGAAGAAGCTACATGTCATGAAAACAGTTTGTGTTCACCAGGCTGTTTTGCACGGTGGGTTCCTGGGAAATGACAGTGACAACATTACTCTGGCAGAATAGTTGGTAGAGTTATGGAGCAGGTGCTGAACAATGAAGTTTGAATATGGTCAGTGTGGGCTTTTTGCTAAACGTAACCATCTTCTGCTTAATTGCACGTTGGATATGTTTTCCTTTTATAAAGTATGATAGTAAAACCACCTGTGGTTGGCATTTTGATAAGGAAATTAGAGTGGCATGTAGGCTTGCATCTCAGCACATTGGTTTCTGCTTGTAACATGGGACTTGCTAAGGAAATCAGAGCATGATTTCCAGTTCTGCCACGGATTCTGTGAATAGCCCTGAGCAAAATACTTGGTATCTCTTGGGCTCTGTTCTCTTTCTGTAACTGGGAATAATAATGAACACTTTCCACTACATTCTACTTATTTTGTTGGCTTCAAATATGAAAAATTCAAACTGAAGACTTCTTAAAACTTACAAATACCACAAAATTTATAAATCACTTATAAATCACTTGGCAGCCCACATTATACATTGATGATCTGTTAAATGTATGCATATGTATGTACATATACATATATGTGTGTGTGTGTGTGTATTTCAAGGGACCAGAAGAATCTGAATTGATTTTGAGCTTTTTGAAATAACATTTTACTTGCTTTGCTAAAGTTTCTGTTGTGCTCATGGGTATGAAATAAAGGGCGTAATTTCCTTGATGGAGGCAGTGGTTTGGTAGAAAAATTTGCAGCAAAAAAGAGGATTGCAAGTCAGATTTCATTTTAATTTTTTAAATTGTCATTAGATTTTATCTTTACTGTTTTAGAAACTGTATAACACTTCTTAATTCTAAGGCCATAAGCATTACTGTGCTGAATGTTTGATGTTGGCTGGTTAGCAGCAGCAGTGTAAATGTTACGGTGAAGAACAAAGAGGAAACCATAGTAAGTATGGTAGCACAGCAAAGTTTCTCTTCTCTGTTTTCACAATTAGGAAAATAGCTTTTTTTTTTTTTTTTTTTCTTTGAAAAGCATTCTTTAAGCTTTTCATTGTTGTGCCTTCATAAAAGCCTGAGCTGGGCTCAGTGCACTGGTGGGCAGCCTTCACTTGCACGCTCCGCTTCCACTGAGGCCAGAATTTTATTGTATTTTTTTGTAGAGAAGCATAAATAATGTTTACAGTCAGGTTCGGTTACATTTTTACGCCTGATGTGTGTGGGGAAAAACAATGACAACAATATCCACTCTTGCCAATTCGAGAAGGAAAGGAAGCCCTTCTGGAACCAAGCTACCTTGTTTAGTGCTGGCTTAAAAAAATCCTGAATTGACACTGAAGTCCTCCAGAATCAGGAAGTTATTCCATAACTTCACCATTTGAGCCCCTGCTGAATATTTCTTTACCTCCTTTTCATATAGTTGAAAAATTTTATTACTTCTGCACAGAATATCATGATGCCTTTTTACAGAAATGGAAAACACATCTCCAGTAAGTATATTGTGGGGGTTGCTTAAAAATACACTGTAGTATTTATCAGCAGGGACTTTTACAGAAATCTGTTGTAGTTTACACCAGGAAGGATAGCAGAGCACAGTATGTCTGACAGTGTGCTGATGAGTTAAACTCTCACTGAAGATTAATAGTTGATAGTGCTTAGATGCTTCATCCAGCTGAATTCTAATTGTCACTGTAATAAGAAATGTGTGCATATTTACTGTGTTTTCCCTTTTCTTTGATAGTCACAATTATAACTATTTGTTAAATCCTTCCCATTCTCCTACTCCGCTGACCTCAATTCTGTATATGATTTAAAACATTACAAATATTGTTAATTCCAAGAGTATATTTTTTTCTTTTCTCTCCTGTTTACTGCTTGCTAATTAAATTTTGTAGGTGGCAGTTTGAAATCTTAGTGGGACATGTCATGTGACTGCTAATGCTCTGCAGATCTCTATTACATAACCTTTAAGTAGTTTGGGAAAATGTGCTTGTGTCATA